TTGGCTTTCATCTTGATGTGGGGTTTTCATCTTCAATTCATAAAGTCACATCATATTTCCTGAAGCTGTTCCTTTAAGGACATTTATAACTAATCAGTTGGATTGCTGTCTTATATGTCTAGTACACAAATTTGACAATCTAACAATTTGAAGTTAGTTATGGAATGCATCGCCCTCCAATGTATCTCTAATGCTGTAGCCCAGGGTGATCTTTGGTAACAACTTTGGATTCTGGTTGACCCCATGAAGGAGAAAGCAGGAGAAGATCAGACCAAAAGCCCACTCCCTGTACTGTAATGCAGGAAATATTCTCAGAAATTAATTCCTCAATGAAATAATGTGAGATTCCTGTATCATTCATTGTTTGGACCTTGCCAGGTGATGGAGTTCTTTGCGTCTTGCTATTAGAAAAACAGTCTTATTGACCACAAATGACTTTCTTTCCAGTGGTTTTCTTCAATCTCAAAATCATCCCAATTGGAAACTCTAGACCTGATCCCCACCATTATTTTCTCCAAATGGCGACTTAGAGATGCATTTTATAGTAATGGATCAACTGTCTTAGCAACTGGAGGCACTTATTTAAAATTCACTTTGGAAAATCATTTCCTTATAAAAAAAACAGGGTTCTATGAATACCAACCTTGCTACCAATCAAAATGAAGCCTCTAATAGCGAGTGCCATATAAAGTGCACTAACCAAATAGGTGGTAAGACAATAGGGGAACTCAGGCACCACACAGGTTATGTAGAAAGGAAACACAGGGCCACCCACAAAGGACTCAAATGTTTATACACCAATGCACAGAGTATGAACAGCAAACAGGGTGAACTAGAAATTCAGGTTAATGAGGGCAGATACGATATTGTTGCCATTACGGAAACATGGTGGGATGAAACTCACACATGGAACACACAGCTAGAGGGATTTAAATTATTTAAAAGAAACAGACCAAATAAAAGAGGAGGTGGAGTTGCTCTCTATATAAGAAATAACTACATCTCCACAGAAATAGAGTACAACAATGATAAAAACTGTCTTGAATGCATTTGGGTCAATATAAAAGGGGGGGGGAAATGACATTGCCATAGGTGTATACTACAGACCACCCAACCAAACAGAGGAAATAGATGAACTTTTTGCTAGTCAGCTAACTAAGGTATGTAGGAAGCACATCACAATAGTAATGGGGGACTTTAACTACCCTGACATCAACTGGGAGACAAACTCCGCACCAAGTGGAAGATCAAACAGGTTCCTGGCAAACCTAGCAGACAACTTTGTCTCCCAAAAAGTAGAGAATGGAACTAGGGGATTAGCCATTTTGGATCTAATTCTCACTAACAGAGATGAAATGATAGACGGTGTTGAAGCCATAGGAACTCTGGGAGGAAGTGATCATGCAATATTAGAATTCAACATTATAGAAGCACAAGCAATAGAACACAGTCAAACTAGAGTCTTGGACTTCAAGAGAGCTAATTTCAATAAACTTAGAGAGGGCTTGGGAAGGATTCCATGGATGAGAATCCTCAAGGGGAAAACAACTCAAGAAGCTTGGGAAATTTTGAAAAATGAGATAATAAAAGCACAGTCTAGCACAATACCAACAAAGAGGAAAAATAACAGCTCTCAAAAGAAACCAGCATGGCTGCATAAAGAACTCTCTGACAAATTGAAAGATAAAAAGGACAAGTATAGAAAGTGGAAAGAGGGGAACATAACTAAGTCAGAATATCAGCAAATAGCCCGAGCCTGCAAAGATGAAGTGAAGAAAGCCAAGGCTCAAAATGAACTGAGGCTTGCGACCAAAGTCAAAAATAACAAAAAAAGCTTCTTTCAACATGTAAAAAACAAGAAAAAAGTGAAGGAAATGATTGGTCCATTAGTGGGTGGAAGTGGCAAGAAGGTGACAAGCAACAGGGAGAAAGCAGAACTATTTAACTCATTTTTTGCATCTGTCTTTACACAAAGGGAAAAAACAGACCAACCTATCAAAAATAGTGCCATAAAAAACAAAACAGAAACACAAGTTAAGATAGGCAAGAAAATCGTTAGTGAGCACCTGTCCAGCCTAGATGAGTTCAAATCGCCAGGACCAGACGGATTACACCCCAGAGTTCTCAAGGAACTGGCAGATGTGATATCGGAGCCACTGAACTATATTTTTCAAAGATCCTGGAACACAGGGGAACTACCAGAGGACTGGAAAAGAGCTGATGTAGTTCCCATCCTCAAAAAAGGAAAAAAAATGGATCCAGGAAATTACAGACCTATCAGCCTGACCTCAATACCTGGGAAGATCCTGGAAAAGATAATCAAACAACGAATCAATGAACACCTAGAGGCAAACAAAGTCATTACTAAAAGCCAACATGGGTTTGTCAAAAATAGATCATGCCAGACAAATCTTATTGCATTCTTTGACCAAGTGACAAAATTAGTGGATCAGAGGAATGCTGTGGACATAATTTACTTGGACTTCAGTAAGGCATTTGATAAAGTAGATCACAACCTACTACTTGACAAGATAGAAAAATGTGGGGTAGACAGAACCACCACCAGATGGATCCGTAGCTGGCTGACCGGCCGTACTCAGCGAGTGGTCCTCAATGGAACTGCATCTATATGGAGGGAAGTGTGTAGTGGGGTGCCCCAGGGCTCTGTTCTGAGCCCAGTACTCTTCAACATCTTCATCAACGATTTGGATGAAGGGATAGATGGGGAACTCATCAAATTTGCAGATCACACCAAGCTGGCAGGAATAGCCAACACTCCAGAAGACAGGCTTCAGATACAGAAGGATCTGGACAGACTTGAACACTGGGCACTAACTAACAAAATGAAATTCAATGGTGAAAAAAGCAAGGTTCTACATTTAGGCAAGAAAAACCAAATGCACAAGTACAGCATAGGTGGCACCATGCTCAATAGTAGTAACTGTGAGAGGGACCTCGGAGTCCTAGTAGACAATCACTTAAATATGAGCCAGCAGTGTGCTGCAGCTGCCAAAAAGGCCAACACAGTGCTAGGCTGCATTAACAGAGGGATAGAATCAAGATCACGTGAAGTATTAATACCACTCTTCAATGCCTTGGTAAGGCCACACTTGGAATACTGCATCCAGTTTTGGTCACCACGATGTAAAAAAGATGTTGAGACTCTAGAAAGAGTACAGAGAAGAGCAACAAAGATGATTAGGGGACTGGAGGCTAAAACATATAAGGAACGGTTGCTAGAATTGGGTATGTCTAGTTTAACGAAGAGAAGGACAAGGGGGGACATGATAGCAGTATTCCAATATCTCAGGGGCTGCCATAAAGAAGAGGGAATTAAGCTATTTTCCAAAGCACCTGAAGGCAGGACAAGAAGCAACGGTGGAAACTAATCAAGGAGAGAAGCAACCTAGAACTAAGGAGAAACTTCCTGACAGTGAGAACAATTAATCAGTGGAACAGCTTGCCTCCAGAAGCAGTAAATGCTCCAACACTGGAAGTTTTTAAGAAGAGACTGGACAGCCATTTGTCCGAAATGGTGTAGGGTTTCCTGCCCGAGCAGGGGGTTGGACTAGATGACCTCCAAGGTCCCTTCCAACTTTACTACTATTACTAAGTCTCTTTATGTTGATTTAATTTCTAATTGGAGGAATATTTAAGTGAAATTATTCTGGCAAAAGTTTAGGTATTTCCTTGTTATTTATTGTTTCTGCTTTGATGACTCAGTTTAGTTGAAAGGGTGCCTTAATGCCCGAGTTAATCATCTTTGGTTTTGGATGGGTTGCAATGGCAGGTGTTTGTTTGCTTTTAATGGACTTCCTTATCTCCTTAGAGGAAGAACTAAAAACCTTTTCCTGGAGAAATTTTACCCTTGTGTTCACTATAAGTCAGCAGTGACATCATACATGTCATTATAAGTCAGCAGTGACATCATACATGTCATTTGTTATTAAGGGCTCTTAATAACAAAATATCATCCAAAGTATCTAGTGACACCAGTGCCCCTTCTAACACAGCTAGAAGTTTCAAAGGCTAAAGGGGGCTTCAATTTGGGAGATATAAAGTTCTTCTTTCACTGTGCTTGATGGGAAAAAAAGGAAGAGCTCTCTTCTGGAATAATAACCTGGGAAATGCAGCAGATTCTTCCTGAATAATATCAGGCATCTTAGAAATTTTCCAAATTTGTCTGCCTTTATTACTCACCATCCAGTTGACTTTATGTCCCAGGCAACACTAGAGGTCATGCTTTCCTGGTTTCTAACCTGAAGCATTAACCACAACATCAAACAATAATTTAATAGGGAGATTAAATAATTATCATCTCTCCAAGGTTCACTACAATGCCTACTCACCGTGACATCTTTTCCATCTTTTTATTTCTTTCAAAAGGTTTTCCAACAAAACCCCATTTTATTTCTGAATTTTGCATATCAGCTTGCAAAATTCAAAATAAATGTTCACCAGCCATGACAGTCTATCCTTGCACAGATACATTGTTAACTATTAAATCCTTAATATTAAACTTAGCAATTTTTTTTCAAGATTATAAAACATAAAATATGTCTTAAGATAGGTGGCCATACATATCTTTTAAAATAAATGAACAATTAAAAGAAGTTATGGAATGTTTTTGAGAAATGACAATCTGACAATATCTCTTTGTCCTTTTAAAAAATTTACGCAAGACTCGAAGCCATACTCTGAAAAAAACAGAGTTAAACAGTATGATTCCAGATCAGTAAAGAAATGAGACAACACTGTATTCTCCTCTCTTATGTATGCATCTCATACATTGAACGGATATTGAAGAAATGTAGGTTAGAAGACAAATGACATGGTTTTAAATTGGTGGAGGAAACATCAATAAACTTCACTATGCTATTTATTGATAGTAAGATTAATCACATGGGAGAAAGACAAAATTCTTTGAACAAATAACTGTTTACAATGTCTTATTTTAATTTAGAAATAATGTGGATAAAATATAACTGCCAAAATCAAGATCACTCATTGTTTTTCATCATTAGATGCTCCTTCGCATTCATGTCAGGTCTCAGAATGATGATATAACATTTGGGGACAAAGATGCAGCCGAGTAAGCCGAGGCTGGAGGTCAGGATGGAGAAGATCTGCACAGCCACCATGTATTTTCCTTTGGTGCTCAGGTAGGCGGGGACAAAAGAAACCCAAACACTGCAGAAGAGCAGCATGCTGAAGGTGATCCACTTGGCTTCGTTGAAGCCCCCTGGTAATTTCCGGGCTAGAAAAGCCACCAAGAAACAGATGGAAGCCAGAAAGCCCAAGTAGCCAAGGGCAGAATAGAACATGATGACTGAACCTTCATTGCACTGCAGTAGGATCTGCCCTTTTTGGGAATATAAGTCAGAATCTGGGAATGGGGGAAAGATTCCCAGCCATATGAAACAGATGCCCACCTGAACACCAGAGCAGGAGAAGATGATGAAATTGGCCAAAGATTTCCCAAGCCATTTCCTAATTTTGCTTCCTGGCTTTGTGGCCAGAAATGCCATCACAACCATGGTAGTCTTGGCCAGCAAGGATGACACAGCAACTGAGAAAACAACACTGAAGGCAGTTTGTCGAAGAAGGCATGTCACTTTCTTAGGTTGGCCAATGAATAGAAGGGAAGTCAAGAAGGAAAGCAGGAGAAAGATCAGCAGAATGTAGGTGAGATCACGGTTGTTAGCTTTGACTATGGGAGTTTCTCGATATTTAATAAAAATTCCTAGAATTAAGGCTGTGGTAAGAGACAAAAAAAGGGCAGAGACAGCCAGGATGAAACCTAAGTTTTCTTTGTAGGACAGGAAAGTTATAATTTTGGCAACACACTGATCCCGCTTCTCGTTGGAGAAATGGTCATCTGGACATTTTGCACATTGGGCTACATCTGGAAAACACAACTGCTTTTTAAATAGTGATTCAATGACATTCAGCACATCATGACCAAACAACCAGAAGCAGGATATAGATAGAGCAATGAAGATTTTTTCTCTATATATATATTTTTAAAGTAATTATATTATTAAAATAATGAAATGCAAGGAAAAAATGCTTAATTACTAGGAATGAATAAAGTAGTTAATTATGTTTATGGAAATCATTTCTCTCTTTCCTTTCATTATTTCCCCAAGCTGTGAGTAGAATAAACACACAAACACAAACACACCACTTCCACACATAATCTATTTGTTTCTCTCTGTGTGTGTGTTTTACTTTAAAGTGTAAAGATTCTTGCTGGCATCTGATATTAGGTTTGATTCATCTCACAACTTTCTGGTTAAAAATCATGTTCTAAAGCTTTAAATACATCCTGCTGTTCAATGTGTTCCACATACGAAAGCTATTCTTTTTAAAAGTTGCTTAAACTTAATCACAGATTCTGTAGATCAGTGTTTTCAACCTTCACAACATTAAGACGTGTACTTCAATTCCCAGAATTCCTCAGCCAGAATTCCCCAATTCCCTGAATTCCATGGCTCCTGAGGAATTCTGGGAGTTCATGTCCACATGACTTAATGTTGCCAAAAATCACTGCTGTAGGTATTGTCAAGTGTCATTGCTGCATATTCTCCAAATTGCCCTCCCAATCTGACATCACTGCCAAAATATCTATTTTTCCAATTCTCTCCTAACTTTCTTCTTGCGACTGCCAGAAAAAATAGGGTTAGGGTTAGCATTTTTTTTTTTTTTTTGCTTTTTGAAACTATACCTATAAAGAATATGTGTGATTTCAGTTCATTTTGTATAGGATTTTTCTGAATAATTTGATGTATTTCATTCCAATGCTTTTGAGGTTTTTTTGCACAACCACTACAGATGATAAAGTGTTCCTTTTTCTCATGGCTTTTCCAACATTAAATGTTCTATTATTTGTTTATTTTGAAATTGTTGATGTAACTTTAGAACATTTAAAAAACATTTGCAGCAATTTCCCCTTAAATTATAACTTGGCGTGAATTTTCTATATTTTTCTTTTTAAAAGCTCTTCTCATTTTTGTATTGTGATTAATTGTTTGACATTTTGCATCCATTTTATCATAAAAATGTTTATTTTTTTCCATCTCCATGTTGTATTTTAAAAACAATTTATATATGGTTCTTAATCATAAATCTTATTTTCTATATGTATTTCAAATGCTGTCGTATTTTTTAAGGTCTCTCAATCTTTTTCAAAATTGCTTGTTATTGTTTCAGCAACTTTGAAAACATTCACAATGGTGAATTTTACCTTCACTGAACAATTCTTGCAGTGTTTTTAGTCTGTTTCTTGAGTCTAGATATAATATATTGGTATACGAGAACAAATCTTGCTAATACCAGAGCTGTGGTGGCACAGTGATTAGAATGCAGTATTGCAGTCTAACTCTGCTCACAGCCTGGAGTTCGATATTGACCAGCTCAAGGTTGAATCATTCTTCCATCCTTTCAAGTCAGTAAAATGAGGACCCAAATTTTTGAGGGGCAATATGCTGACTCTGTAAACTGCTTAGAGCATGCTGTAAAGCACTATGAAGCAACATATAAGTCTAAGTGCAATTCCTATTGCTACTATATTATCCTTAGAATAAAAGACTAGTGCTGCTTCTTTGTTCTTGAATTACCTACCTTCCTGCACAGAGATGGTTCCTTCCATACATGGAGAACAGTCATAGCAGCAAACTGGTTCTCCCTCTCTCATCAGCTTGGTATGTCCTGGGAGGCAACTTTCCGTACACCTAGAAAAGGGGGCCTTCTGAACAGAAAGAAAAATCAGAGAAATATATGAATGAGGGGATTACTTCTAAAAATGGAAGCGAGCACCAAAGTGCGTTCATGAATTCAAGAAGGTACTTTCAAAATCTTTTTCCAAATACAATGAAAATATTTTTGTTTAGTGAAATTTCTCCACTAGCAGTTTCATTTCAGCAGGCTATAATCTCAGAGTCCCCTTAATGTTCAGAAAAAGCTGCTGACTCTCCAGTCCAATCATCATTATGCTGGGATTTTTCTGCATTTGGGCTTCAGATCCTATCAGCTTCAGCCAACTGATCAACGATACAAAACTATGGAAAGCCTACTCCAAAGCATGGAAATCAAAAGGTTACTTCATCTTATCTTAGCAATTGCTAAAACATCATCTGTCACAACATTTCCTCTGCCTTCTTACAATATGTATTTCTTAGATCTCAATTTACTATCAACTGAGTCTCAAAGGAGACTCCAGTTCTGAAAAAAACATTGAATGATTCAATAGAAGAAAATCTGTATAACTCAGGGTTGAATTGTAAACTCCTTGATGCTCTCTGGTTTTGACTGCCTGTTTGCAGATATTTCATTACTTGAGTAGATAACATTATCACTGCTATCATCAGGCATTGATGATGTTACTTAGTTGGGAAATTAACCAATGAAATTACCTGCAAACAAACAACCAAGGTCAGAGAACACCAAAGATTCCTCTGAATAAAACGCCCTACCGTATGTTCCTCAGCGTCAAAGGCCAGTTCCTTGGTTTGTGATGCTCCTAAGTTTCCTTATGTGCTACAAGCAGCTTTGGCCTAGCCAACAACATGTTTTCCATTCTACACCGGAACAATTCTGGTATTCCCATCATAAGAAATAGATTTTTTTTAAAGTATTTTTATTAGTTTTCTATCATTACTATTCATTTGTGCTTAATGAACAATGTGTTGTCTGGGTTGATTTTTGCCTAATCATATTGCTTAAATTCTTTGAACTATGGTGCTGGAGAAGACACCTGCGAGTCCCTTGGACTGCAAGGCGTTCAAACTGGTCAGTCCTAGAAGAAATCAACCCCGACTGCTTTTTAGAAGGCCAGATCCTGAAGTTGAAACTCAAATACTTTGGCCACCTAATGAGAAGGAAGGACTCACTGGCTCACTAATGCTGGGAAAGATTGAGGGCAATAGAAGAAGGGGATGACAGAGAATGAGATGGCTGGATGGAGTCACTGAAGCAGTAGGTGTGAACTTAAATGGACTCCAGAAGATGGTAGAGGACAGAAAGACCTGGAGGAACGTTGTCCATGGGGTCGGGATGGGTCGGACACGACTTCGCAATTAACAACAACAACAAATTGGTTAAATTCTTACTCTCTGCCCTGCTTTTCCAATCATTGATAAAATAAGTTCTATATTTGAAAGTATTCTGTATCTTCTTTTACTTTGATTCTCAATGTGAGTCTGTCCATTTCTGCACAGTCCAATATTTTCTTCATTATTGCTTCCTTCAATCATGCTATCTCATTTTTCCAGTGCAGTGCAAATACATGTAATGTTAAATATACATTTCGTTTATCAAACTTTTCTAGCATTATGCCGAGTAAAAAAACAGTTCAGGTTTAAAATCTACATGTTTTCCTAACATCTTTTCTCATCAAGTATGTATTTTAGTCTAAAAGATTTTTGCCTTTACACATGTCCACCACAAGTGATAATATGTACTGGGATTTTGATTACATTTCCAACATTTGCTAGACATATTTTTAAACATTTTTGCTAATCTAACAGTAGCAATTTCAGTCAAGAATCTTCTCAATCTCTCTGCTATTACTGAGGCAAAAAATGTATAATCCACATTTAATAATAATATTGGTCTATAATTTTTCATCTGTGTCAAATCTGAATCTTCCCTTCATATTAAAGTAATACTTGCTTCCATCCTCTAATAATACCTCGTTACACACTTTCTTCATTGGTAGGCTTAATGTATCTTGTAGATATTTGTAAACCTCTGCGGGTAGCACATCCGGTCCTGGTATTTTATCGTTTTTCTGCTTTTTTATAGCTTCTATGATTTCCATCATTGTAATTTTTTCATTTAATATATTTTTTAGGTTTTCTGATATTTTTGGTAGGTTTGCATTTTCCAAGTATTGTATCATTTTTTTCTCGAGAAATTCCTTCTACATCATATAATTTTTCATAAAAATCTTTGTTTTTTTAATTGCATCAGTTTGAAATTGTATGTCACCTTTCTCATCTTGTAGTTTATTATCAGTTTCTTCTCTCTTTCTTTTTTTAGTTTATATGCCAACCATTTTCCCAGCTTGTTTTTATTTTCAAAAAAGTTTTGTTTTATCCTTTTTATTTGTAGAGCCAATGCTTCTGACTCTATTAAATTTAATTTATGTTTCATTGTCTCCATTTGTCTTTTCACAATTTTCTTTTGTGGATGTATTTGTAATTCTAATTCCAGTTTCTTGAATTCTTCTCTGTTATGTTTTTTTTGTTGTTGTTCTTTTTAGCCATATATGTTATAGCTAATCCTCTAAAATACTGTACTTTCTGGCGTATAAGATGACTTCCGCAAGCATTAAAATAGGTGCCGAAGTCGGGGATCATCTTATACACCGAGTTGTCTTATTTGCTGGAATATACAGTACGCTTTGGCTATGTCCCATACATTCTGAATTGATATTGTTTCCCTTTTATTTTCTTTAAAGAAAAACTCCATTTCCTTTATTGCTAATTCTACAAATTGTTTCTCTTTTAACAAAGATTGATTCAAAGTCTATCTTGATTTCTTCTTTACCTCTTTCCGGGTCAGCATTATTGGATTATGATCCACCCAAATGTTAGGTTTTACCTCAATCTCATATATATTAGTACTTAATTAATTCTAGGCCAAGATTTATGTCTATTCCAATAAAACATGTACTGGGTCTTTTTTGGGTTACTTTCTGCCTAAGTATCCTGTATGGAAATTTCTTCTGTCATTCTAAAAAACACCTTAAGGAGTGTCTTTTTTCCCCTTTCCCCTCTTTTGCTGTTTCTATAATCTAACTTTCTATCTACAATTGCATTAAAATCTCCTATCAAACAAATGCTTTGATGTTCCATTTCCAATATTTTCTTTTGTAATTTTTGATATAATTCTTCTTGTTTGTTATTTGGTGCATATATTGCTACCATCAGTATCTGGTTTTGATTTATCATTATTTCTACCATTAGGATTCCTCCTTCTTTATCTGAGTAGACCTGTTTGGATTCCAATGTCTCTTTTATATATAAAGTGGCCCCTCTTTTCTTTTGAGATGCTGATGTAAAATAAAGTTTCCCAATTTTGGAATATTCCAGCAATTTATAGTGTTGTTTTTTTATATGTGTGTCTTGGAGACAAATTATATCTATTTTTAGTTTCCGTAATCGTGCAGAAAATATTTCTTTTTGATGGGGAGTTCAATTCATTTATATTCATTGAGAAAATTCCACTTTCTTTCTCCATCTTCTTATATTTAGGTTTTATTCACCTAGTGGACAATTCCTGTCTCTATTCTTTTATCACCTACTCTCTTTCTTGATCTGTATTTTCTTCTTCTTCTTCTTCTTCTTCTTCTTCTTCTTCTTCTTCTTCTTCTTCTTCTTCTTCTTCTTCTTCTTCTTCTTCTTCTTCTTCTTCTTCTTCTTCTTCTTCTTCTTCTTCTCTTTGTATGGGTGTCTCTTCTGTTACTAACTTTCTCTGTATTTCATCTTCCCTATCCCCTTGTGGGTCTTGTGTTTTCTCTTCAAGAAAACTTATGTATGTCTCATAGAACTCTGTTGCCTTAAAGATAGAGTCCAATCTATATGTTTTCATATCCCAATTTATTAATATTCCCTCTAGGACCAACCATCTGAAATTCACTCCTTTTTCATTTAATTTTATAATCAAAAATTGGTAGTATTTTTGAGAATATCTTATCCTCCTAGGGATCTGTTCAGGACCACAATTTCTTTTTTTCTATACATCAGCAGCTCATCTCTTACTCTCTTCAATATTTCATTGTTTTTTTCACAAATCTAATGTGAACCTAGGGAGTCTATGTCTCCTTGTGTAGCTTGAGTTAATTCTATATACCTGATCCAATTCTCCGTCCATCTCATTTTTTTCACTTCTAGTGCTTCAGCAAACAAATTAGTAATCATTTATGTTAGGACTTCCTCCTTATCTTCAGGTACGTTCTGTTCTGTTAAAAAGTGTGATCTTTTTCCATTTCCAGTATTGTGATTGTATCTTCCAAGCTTTTATTTGCCTGTGCTAATTTTTGATTTTCTTCTTTTCTTTCCTCCATCTTTTTCTTAGTTTCTTTTGATTTCTCTTCCATTTTCTGGATTTCTTGCTCATTTTTTATAATCATTTGTTGAGAATTTTCTAATTGTGAGTTTATAATGAAGACCTGCTCATTTATCTTATCCAAATTGTTTCTTGTTTCCTTGTTTCCTTGTATCTTCTTTATGTGAAACAATTGCTTCCTGAATTGATTGCAATGTTGTTTGCATTTCCTTTCTTGTAGAATCATGGCTTCAATCAATCTCTGATATACTGGGCAGGGCTACCCAGATGATGGAGCTGAAGGAGATTTTTTAGAAGTTTAGCAAGGTTTGGGATACTCTGTTTTTTTATTCCTCCTCCAGTTACTCTATCATCAATCTGTTGTGCCCCCTGGAAAGTATCTTTATCTCAAAAAAAAACTGTCTGTCACTATCAGGTTTGGAGGAGTAGTTATAAAGTCAATCGATATTTGTAATCAAAATGGCCAGCTAATCTTAAACCAATCAGTAAGACTCACCAAGCCAGGAGTAGTAAAAAGCCATATTGTTCTCTGTCTCTAGATGTTTCTTGAAATCCAGGTCAACCAACGTTTGTAATCCACAGTGAGCAGTATAATTCCATACATTCAGTGATAAAATATTATATAAAGTCCTGCTTCCTTCTATCTTCAGCTGTTTGTTACAGTTCCAAGAGCTTTCAAAGTCATCCAGCTGGCTGCTTATCTGTATCTGGGCTTTAGGCCAAGTCCATCCCAGGGATAATATATGAAAGAGTTTGTCTCTATTTCACCACTAGATGCCACTCTCCCAAGTAATTGGAGTTTAAATCAAAAGTTATTCATAAGATTAGTCTCATACTCTTATTTTTAAGCACAAATTAATAATTTTGACGGTTGATCAAATTTAGCAAAGCAATGTCTTTATATTACTCATGGTTTATCATTCTGTATTCTCTATTCCTGTCCCCCTTCAAGTTTTCTTCCTCCCACTTTTGTTTCTCTGGTGGTGGGGGGGAAATCCCCTTCCTCCAGTCACATCTGGGGAGTTCTTGCTTTGGGGGAATTTATTCCAAGGAATAGTGTTCAAAAATGGTAGATAGAAAGAGGATCTTCTCACCCAGTTCCATGACATACTGTTATTGATCCTCTCATAGGGCTAGTCCTCACCCTTCCCAGCTGTCAGTAGCTCTTGTACAGACTGCATAAATGCAGTCCATCTCTCTTCTGTGGGTTTGGAGGGATTTCCTCAGATCAAATGGGCTAATGATCATGATCAACAAGGATTTCCTTCTTTGTTATTGCCTCTCTGGGTTGACTTTTGGGCTTTTGGGGCTCCCTGGTAGAAGGAAATCAGCTGTGGGGTGTGGAGCTTCGCACTCCCCACATCTGTATCACTACAACATCAAACCGGATATCCCTTATCATAAGAACAGATCTTTTGAGAGGACCATGAAAAATAATTTCTCCTTCAACTTGTACTTTTAGCAGTGGTGACTCTCCATCTGAGTTAAAAGACTGATAAACCAAAAAATCACATGGATACATAGGAACAGGTGAACAATAAAACCCACATAGAGGCAGACTTGGTTACCTGGTTAAAAGATGTTGGCCATATGATGGCGCTCTCATCCACAGAGATCTCGATGTCTGAAGAGACTTCTTTTTCAACATTCCCAATTATCACCCCAGCAGCAGATTTGTTGGGAAATATTGCCCAGTCCATGATATTAAAGTCAGCAGTGGGAATTCCATACTCATTCAAATAAACGTCATTTACAGAAAAATTGTAATTCTGGAAGTTTCTTAGAAATGGATGGAGCTGAAAAGACATGGAGAATCACCCTTGCAATGTATACATTCTCATTTGAGCAATAAGTCAAAACAGCGGTACTTTATCCTAGTGCTTCTGTCTGCAAATGTGGTAGGAAGAGTATATTTTTCACTTTAATTACATCTCTCCCTCTCTTTCTTTCACACTCCCATCGTTTCTTACAGGCTCTTTCCACTCTGTCTGTCTGTCTATGTCTTTGTGTCTCCCCTTCTCACACACATATATATCTTTTTAATTTATTTTAGCCTACTCTTCTTTATGAAATTGGTAAGCTCAGATCCCAAACATGTTGTGCAACAATGGTGGAAACTCAATAGAGCATGATGGTTATTGTCACATCCTTGTTTTTGTTAATTGCAAAGTCATGTGCGACCCATCGTCACCCCATGGACAATGTTCCTCCAGGTCTTCCTGTCTTCTACCTTATTCTGGAGTCCATTTAAGTTCACACCTACTGCTTCAGTGACTCCATCCGGCCACCTCATTCTCTGTCGTCCCCTTTTTGTATTACCCTCAATCTTTCCCAGCATTAGTCCCTTCTCCAGTGAGTCCTTCCTTCTCATTAGGTGGCCAAAGTATTTGAGTTTCAACTTCAGGATCTGGCCTTCTAAAGAGCAGTCGGGGTTGATCTCTTCTAGGACTGACTGGTTTGAACGCCTTGCAGTCCAAGGGACTCGCAGGAGTCTTCTCCATCATCATAGTTCAAAGGCCTCAATTGTTGGCAGGGCGATGTCTCTGCTTTTTAGTATGCTGTCTAGTTTTGCCATAGCTTACCTCCCTAGGAGCAAGCGTCTTTTAATTTCTTGGCTGCAGACCCCATCTGAGGTGATCTTGGAGCCCAGGAAAATAAAATCTGTCACTACCTCCATTTTTTCCCCATCCATTTGCCAGGCATTGAGAGGCCCGGATGCCATGATTTTGGTTTTCTTAATGTTGAGTTTCAAGCCAACTTTTGCACTCTCCTTCTTCACCCACATTAAGAGGCTCTTTAGTTCCTCATCACTTTCTGCCATTAGAGTGGTATCATCTGCATATCTTAGTTGTTGATATTTCTCCCGGCAATCTTAATTCCAACTTTTGATTCATCTAGCCCTGCCTTTCCCATGATGTGCTCTGCATATAAGTTAAATAGGCAGGGTGACAGTATACAGCCTTGCCAGACTCCTTTCCCAATTTTGAACCACTGCTAGTGGTTCCGTGTCCTGTTCTCACTGTTGCTTTTTGACCCACATATAGGTTTCTCAAGAGACAAATAAGATGTCTGGTACTCCCATCTCTTTAAGAACTTGCCACAATTTGTTGTGATCCACACAATCAAAGTCTTTAGCATAGTCAATGAAGCAGACGTAGATGTTTTTCTGGAACACCCTAGCTTTCTACATGCTCCAGCATATGTTGGCAATTTGATCTCTAGTTCCTCTGCCTCTTCGAAATCCTGCCTGTACTTCTGGTAGTTCTCGGTCAACATACTGCTGGAGTCTAGCTTGTAGGATTTTAAAAAATGTAAAAAATGTCACATCCTACTGTTATTTATTCAACAATTGTGAAAAAAAACTTCCAGTCTCTTGAAACATCATATCCTAATGTCACAAGCATCCTGAATCAGCACACCAGGTTTAATCTAGAAGAGTCAGCAACACAATCTATTTGTTTGGTTAGAACAAATATTAGAAACAGGCAATTGTTGTTAGGTCATCCCCATACGATGATACTTATCTTTAATGTAACATTTAAGAATGGAAAGGGAACCATCAGCAACATTTTGAAGAAGCATTACCTGCCTTGGCTGTACCTTCTGGAGTGTCTGGTGGTCCACAACAGGCATCCTCCTCTTACTCATTTGGGAGGAAAAGGCAGCACTGAGGACCCAGGCCACAACCTGGATTGTTGTGGAAATGCTGGAGCCATCCTCAGACAGTATTCTTCCAACCAGATCCCGGGATGGGATTTCCCAAGTCTCTTTTTCCAGACATCTCTTCCAAACTTTCTTAGACAACAAAGGGCTTGAATAAGAACACAGAAATGCTGCCTTTCCAAACTTTCCTGTAGCAGAATAATGTGAATTAAAATCATAATATTGTGTCCTTTTCTTTCCCTTAGTTGAGAAGGATAATAAAAGATGGTTATGCTGGAGATTAACCAAATGGTAAAATAATCTCACATTTAAATCTGACAAAGCTGTAGCAATCCATACTTTTTCCTCAAACAGGATTTTTTTCTTTTCAATGTCTCGTATTAGCACTGCTAGTATTAATGTGACCTGAAAGTTCAAGTAACAAACAATACTTTTCACTTTAGTGTTGCTAAAATATTCAAGGATGTCCTTTTCCCTCCCTGCTCTAGGACCCAAGGGTAAGCTTTCTGAGAAGGCAACACAGACACCTTTCCTTACGGCTTCTGGCACAAAGGTTCTTCTGAACTTTTCTCCACTTTCATTGTCCGGAGCAGCGAGGCCGATCCATGTCCATCGGAAATGCAGGAGCAACTTGATAATTGCCAAGTGAGGAGGTTCTTGTTTTGGACTCACCCGGTAGAAAAAAGGGAAATGATGTTTCTGCTCTGGAATGTGGCTGATGACCCCATAGTTGATCAAAGATGAAACAGAAAAGATGGTTGATTGCTTCCTTTTAAGGACAAAAATAAGTTCTTACCTCTAAGGGATTTTTTTTCTGATGTTAACTCTATACTGACATATCAGCTGGTCAATTATATTCACCAAGTTATACAACTGCACAGAATTTTCAATTTAGATATGCTGTTTTATTATCCTATTTTTTTTCCTTTCCCCTATAACAAATAGCTGTATTACAGTTTTTCTGTTTTTGCTGTATTGTATTGTAAAGGCTTTAAAAAATATATCATTTGATTTGCTTTTATCATAGATTGGGGAAAATGGAACATCATGTGAATGCAGTAGAAAAAAATATGTCAGCTGGGTATGTTTTCATTGTCTTTACGTGCAAGTAGGGAAAAACTCTCTTAAAGTAACATTTGCCTATGTAATTTTCATTACAATCCTTAGAGATGTTGTTTGGAATTGGTTGGAATAAGGGTAAAAAGATGTTTTTGTCTGCCAAGACATGAGACTGCAGTGACCAAAAGAAAGGGAAAAGAGGCAGAAGGGTGGGAAAAGAGGATGCAAATTCCATGCAAAATATTGTTCAGAGCAGTTCAGATGAACTATGGGTGAAGGTTCATTCAGTTGAATCATCTCTGTGTAATCTATGTATCTTTAAAAAAAATCAAGATATGCAATGATGTAAGAATGAGGAAAGGTATTTGAATGCCTGTTCAGGTGTTCTTTAAGCTCTGCAATCTGACTATTTTATTTATTATCTGACCCCTTTTGGATTATCAATAGACTTTACAAAATGAAATTAGCTTCAGTATTCATTCCTACTTGTGGAATTTTGTAGATGCCCAGCATAGTTGAAATGGAAGTAAAGAAATCCGAATCAGTCCCTTCAAGCACAGCCAGAAGATTATTTTGTCTTCCACAACTGTAGTTTGGGACATTCTCTTGCCCTGTAGACAGCAAGTCCATCATGACCTCATATGTTATTCTTGCATTGAAAAAGTTCTCATAGATGCTGTAGCCCAGGGTGATGTTGGGTAGCAGCTTTGGATTCTGGTTGATCTCATGAGTGGCAAAGAAGAAGGGCAGGACATGACAGAAGCTCATACTCTGTATACTGCAAGATAAGAGACTGCAGTTAGTTTTCATCTTCTATTCATAAAATCACATCATATTTCCTGAAACTGTTCCTTTAGGGACATTTATAACTAATCAGTTGGATTGCTGTCTTATAAGTCTAGTGCACAAATTTGACAATCTAACAATCTGTGCTCTACCTGGGGCTACTCTTGAAAAGTATCTAGAAGTTCAGATGGCACAGGATGTGGCTGTGCCAGCAATTATGGACACATAAAGGACTGCGCATATAACATCTCTGTTATATGCCTTGTTGTGCAAGCTGCATTGGATGCCAGTTTGCTTCTGGGTCCTATTGAAGGTGTTGGTTATGACCTTTGAAGTACCTGGCATTGGGATAGGCTACCTATGGAACCATCTTCATCCCATTACTTTGGCCCATCTCACCTGGTCTGCTAGGAAAAGTATTTGCAGATCTCATCAGCTAAAGAACTCCAGTTCATGAGGTCCAGGAAGAGAGCTTTCTCTGCCATTGTCCCTGCCCCTTGGAACATTCTTCCACCAGAGATGAGGTTGGTACCCATTCTCCTGACTGTTCAGAAATGTCTGGTTCTGCTGACTCACTTGGGACCCACAGAGATGCACACAGCCATAGGGCTAGTTAGTGGCTTGAAGGACCTGCCCTGTCTTTTTAATTCTGAATTTTAGATATTTTATTCTTGTTTTAATCTGCCTTATATTATAATATCTATATTATCTATATTTTTATGTTTTATATCTTATTTGACAATAATCACAGTAACTGTGAGGAAGATAGGCAGTTTGTAAATGTGATAGGGATAGATAGATAGATAGATAGATAGATAGATAGATAGATAGATAGATAGATAGATAGATAGGTCGGTCGGTAGGTAGGTAGGTAGGTAGGTACCATAAATAAAAATAGAAGAACTTTTTGCATTATTAGTCATGTTCTTTAGCTAAGAAAGACAAAAATCTCAACTTAAAAAAATGTGGTCTTTTTGTCCAAGGGGCTGGAGGCTGAGGGTCCTGGATAGAGTGCAGCAGGCTTCAGCTCAACTCAAGCAAGGTTGAGTTTCTTTGGGTGTTTGGGCCTTCCATCGCCAAGACCTTTTCACAAGCAGTCAAGAAATACATCACAGACTAGCACTTAGTAAAGCAGCCATGAAGGCCCTGGAAAATATATTCAGATGCCATAATAATAATAAAGTTGGAAGGGGCCTTCGAGGTCATCTAGACCAACCCCCTGCTCAGACAGAAAACCCTACACCATTTTGGAAAAATGGCTGTCCAGTCTCTTCTTAAAAACTTCCAGTGTTGGAGCATTCCCCTCTTCTGGAGGCAGGTTGTTCCACTAATTAATTGTTCTAACTGTCAGGAAGTTGTATGTCCACATCTACAAAGGTCAGAATCGTTCAACTCATGTATTCTCTGTAATACTCTATGGAAGTAAATGTTGGACTTTGAAGAAGCAGGAGAGAAAGAGAATTGCCACTTTTTAATTTTAGGATTGGAGAAGACTCCTGAGTATACTGTGGGCAGCCAAGAAAACAAGGAAATTGAACATCAATTGATTCAACCAGAGTGCTCACTCAACAAATGACCAGGCTCAAATTATCTCAGTTTGGAAATATTATATAAAGAGTTAACTCTCTGGAGAAAGTTATAATGCTGGGAATGTTGGAAAGAAAGAGAAGAAGATGACTAAAAACAATGGGGCTGGATTCAGTTACAGTGGCAATGAAAGAGCAGGTTAGGGACAGAACATCATGACAATTTAGGTATGTAATCAATAAAAGACTCCACTGACTTTATGCATACAATGAACCAAAATCAATTAATAAATCTTGAGCTATTGTTTCATATTCAAACATAATTCATGTGCTCTTCTTTCAGTCCCATCTAGTCTGAGTTATTTTAACGGACCTAAGGGGATTACCAAATTAAATGATTGCTGACTTTGTTCAGTATCCTGAACCAATGCAAATTTAGGAAATGAACTCCTCCAAGATCTTTTTTAAAAAATAGGCTTCCTTATCTCCTTACAGGGAGAACTAAAAGGCCAGATTAAGGATAGATCTTGACAAACCTGAACACTGAGCCCTATCTAACAAAATGAAAATCAACACAGATAAAAGTAAGGTTTTACACTTAGGCAAAAAAAAAAAAAAATCCAACTATGTAGCTATAGACTAGATGAAACGTGGTTCAATACCAGTAACTGTGAGAATGGATCTTGGAATCTTAGTGAACAATCACTTAAATATGAGCCAGGAGTGTGCTGCAGTAGCCAAAAAAGCTAATATAATTCTTGGTTAGATAAACACAGGCTTGACATCAAAATCATGTGAAGTATTAGTATTGCCTTATAAAATCTTAGTATGACCATATCTGGAATACTGCATCCAGTTTTGGTCACCACATTATAAAAAAGATGTTGAAACTTTGGAAAAATACAGAGAAGAGCAACTAAGATGATTAAAGGCCTGGAGATTAAAACAAGAAGAACAGTTGCAGAAATTGGATATGGCTAATGTAGTGAAAAGAAGAACTAGGAGTGACATGATAGCAGTATTCAAGTATTTGAGGGGCTGCCACAAAGAAGAGGTCAACTTATTTTCCAAAGCACCAGAAGGCAAGGCAAGACACAATGGATGGAAACTAATCAAGGAGAGAAGCAACCTGGCATTAAGGAGAAACTTTCTAACAGTGAGAACAATTAACCAGTGGAACAGCTTGCCTTCAAAAGTTATTGGTGCTTCATCATTGGTGATTTTTAAGAAGTGACGGGACAGCCACTTGTCTGAAATGGTATAGGATCACCTGTTTGAGCAAGGGGTTGGACTAGAAAACCTCCAAGGCCCCTTCCAGTTATATTCTATTCTAATTCAAAGATTGAGGATAGATCATCCTCGATAAATTCTATCTGCATGGTTGTTCTAAAACAGTATTGATATGATGGTCCTTAATATTACCAATATCCTCCAAGGGATCTAGTGACTTTGATGTGCTTGATGAAAAAAAGGGAAGACCAATGTTCTAGTAGAGTTCTCTTCTAATAATAATCTGAGGGTTGGGGCAGATTATTCTGGAATAACACTGCATCTTGGAAAATCTCCAAATATGTTCTTCTTTATTATTCCTTTTTTTTTTTCTTCTGTTCAATTGTGTTCAATTCTTGGAGACTGCCTGGATGAGTTCCTGCAGTTTTCTTGGCAAAGTTTTTCCAGAGTGGTTTGCCATTGCCTCCTTCCTAAGGCTGAGAGAAAGTGACTGGCCCAAGGCCAACCAGTGGAACAAGAGTTCATGTTCTTCCAGTTTCTAGCCTGAAGCCTTAATCACCACTCGTTATTCATATAATAAGGAGATAGAATAACTCTCATCTCTCCAAGGCTGACTAGATTGCCTACTCCTTTTGATAACTTTTACATCTTTTTGTTTCTTTCAGAATGTTTTCCAACCCTATCATGTTTCTGAATTTTGCATATCAGCTTGCAAAATTAAGAATAAAAATTCACCAGCCATGATAGAGCCTGCCCTTGCATAGATGCATTGCTAGCTATTGAATCCTTGATATTAAACTTAACATTCCTTTGTCATAAAATAAAATTTTACTTTTATTGTTATTATTGTCTTTTCAGACAGTACACTGTGTAGAATCTTCTATAATATTTCCATACTTTTTCATAGTAGACAGTTAATGTCGTAGATGTCACTATTATTAAAGCATATAAAGTTTTAATGTTCATATCAGCTAGGTGAAATAGTAAGCATTTTATCTTGAACTAGTTCTGTAGTTCTATATTATTAATTTTAATTTTTAGTGACTTCCCTCACAGTCTGTATGGATTGATACTTCCATACGGGAAGACTGTAATTTTTAATTTTATTGTTAATTTATCCTGGTTCAGTGACTGAATTGAATATCTAAAATAAGGTTCCAAAGGTAGCCAGTACTGTGCTGAATTCACTTAATCAAATCAACAAAACTTTTTATGTCAAGACATAATAACAACAACCACTTACTAGAAATGGATTTTTCTTTGGAGCAGCTGAAGTCACCTCTACTAAATTGAATGCCCTTCTAAATAGGATGGATGGTGTTTTCACGGTCTTTAGATATCCTACATCCAAGGCCACCTGCCATGGATCCTGCTGTGGTCCTTGGCTTCTTTATTTTTTTTATCTTATTAATTAAAACACAAAGTAAGATGGAAAATAGCACTCATTCTGAAGAAAGCAAAATACCAGCCTCAACTCCTTTTATGGCACAAGTTGCCCATAAACCTTCTGATGAAAAAAAAAGCTGAAAGTTAACAGATGAGGACTATGGCCACTTGCCCAGGAAAGATGTGTGTGTGTGTGTGTTTGTGTGTGTGTGTGTGTGTGTGTGTGTGTGTGAGAGAGAGAGAGAGAGAGAGAGAGAGAGAGAGAGAGAGAGAGAGAGAGAGAGTGTGCATGCGAGAGAGAGAGAGAGAGAGAGAGAGAGAGAGAGAGAGAGAGAGAGAGAGAGAAGAGAGAGAGAAAGCATTAATCACTAGCATGAAGTTCACATCAGGAATTACCTTTGAAAACGGTTGTTTGGAGGCTTGAAGAAGCGGTATGGATTTATGAAACTGCTAGATGTAGAAATGATTCCGCTTATCAGGAAATCTCCTGGCTTGTAGTAATTAAATATGTTACCTCCCTCTTTTTGTACGTTCAATGGACATTTGGATATCAGCGTGCCACGTGGAAAATGATACACCAGAAGAAGAAGCATCAGCAGTATTTCAGATATCATAATGGAGAACTTCTGTCCTTCTCTGAGACAGGCACCCACTATATTTGGCTTCAGAGCTGTCTAAGGAGAAGCCCAGTTCTCTTGACAAACAACACAGATCCACTGACTTGGTCAAGCAAGATAAAATTTAATCTGGCACATTAAAAGGGCAGCATTAAAATACAGACCAGTACAGTATGCCTACAGGAGTCTCACCATGTGTTCATCGTCCTTGAGGCACTTGTGGACCAGAGCTTCAATTTATTATAAGAATTACAAAATATTTGAGAAATCTGTGGATGAGGGTTACTAACTTCTACCTGGTTTCAAAATAACTGTGGGTGAGAGAGGTCCACTAGCCTTTAGTGGAAGATGAAGTAATCATTGTGATTTTGATAATTATGAAGGGATTTGGGAATCACAGTTGATTCTCTGTATGACTTCACTTACTACTATGCAAGAGAGGAAAACCTTTGCATAAGGTATGGACATAGTTTCAATTTAATAGTCAAAATAACAACTCAGGAAACTTGTTCCCATTATTCAAGAAACTTACTCTGGGGAAGCAGAATATCTGGTCCTGTTATATTTGGGTTTCTCATTGAGTCACAGCACAGAGAAAGCACTGATTGTGCCTGTGAATTAACTCTGCTGGACACTGAACCTCTGGTGGGGTATTCTGCTGGATCTCTCAGCAGTTTCAATATTGAATCACAATATACAGGTAATCCTCAACTTACAACAGGTCATTTAGTGACCGTTCAATGTTACAACATCATTGAAAAAAGTGACTTATGGCTGTTTTTCACACTTACAATTGTCGCAGCATCCCCATGGGCATGTGATCTAAATTTGAACGCTTGGCAACTGGTATATATTTATGATGGTTGCACTGTCCCAGAATGATATAATCACCTTTTGCAACCTTCTGGCAAGCAAAGTCAATGAGGAAGTGAGATCCTCTTAACCAAGTTACTAATTTAAGAACTGCAGTGATTCACTTAATTGAATTGTGGCAAGAAAGGTCGTAAAATGGGGCAAAATTCATTTAACAACTATCTCACTTGGCAACAGAAATTTTAGTTGAGAATTATCTGTACCTTTAGGGCAATTGAGAGGGTGGGGAATGAATTTTCCCCTCCCCCCAAAATTATCAGATTCCTCTACTGAGTCAAGTCTCTTGTGATTTGCAAATACAGAGCGCCAGGAAAATACTTCCTCACATTTTTCCCTATGTGAAGTCCCACACAACTCACTCAAGGAAACTGAGAATAATGTTGCTTCTCATATTCTAAACTTTGTAATTAAATTACAAAGTTACTATTGCAACTGAGATATCTTTGGGAAAGAAGTTTTGAAATTATGTCTTAATAAATTGAGTAGATTTTTAGCCGGCAAAAAAAAAGTTATTGATACGAAAGAGTATCACACTTTCCTGATGGAAATGAGCTGGTCTCTTTTCTCTCCTAATGCAAAAGAGAATTCTTCCATGTACTTGAGTAGTGTCTTCATATCGGCACTCAGTATTTTCACATTAACAATCAGAAGAATCTAGATTGTCTGAAGAAAAGAATGTGAAAATGGAATGAAAAAATGTTTTGCATGAGCAAATAACTAAATAACTAAATCAAAAGGTGATAATTGTCCAAATAGAGAAGCTCAACAATATGAAATGAAATATAACAAAACAACTCACACAGAGCCCTCATAGTCAATCAATCAGAATAGAGCTGGAATACACCTTGGTCCAACCCCCTGCTCAAGCAGGAGACCCTATACAATTTTAGACAAGTGGCTGTCCAGTGTCTTCTTAAAGACCTCCACTGATGGAGCACCACAACTTCTGAAGGCAGGCTGTTCCACTGGTTAATTGTTCTCACTGTTAGAAATTTTCTCCTTAATGCCAGGTTGCTTTTCTCCTTGATTAGATTCCATCCGTTGTTTCTTGTCTTGTCCTCTGGTACTTTGGAAAATAAGTTGACCCCCTCTTCTTTTTGGCAGCCCCTCAAATACTGGAATACTGCTATCATGTCACCCCTAGTCCTTTTCTCTAGACTGGCCAAACCCAAATCCTTCAACCGTTCTTCAAATATTTTAGTCTCCAGTCCTTTAATCGTCTTACTTGCTCTTCTTTGCATTTTTTCCAAAGTCTCAACATCTTTTTTTTTTTAATGTGGTGACCAAAACTGGATGCAGTTTTCTAGGTATAGCCTTACTAAGGCTGTATAAAGTGGTACTAATACTTCACATGATTTTGATTCTATGCCTCTCTTTATACCACGAAGGATTGTATTACCCTATTGCTGGCTCATGTTTCAGTGATTGTCCAAGGTCCCTCTCACAGCTACTGTTATTGAGTCAGGTTTTGCCTAGTTTGTACTGGTACCTTTGGTTTTTCTTGCCTAAGTATAAAACCTTGCTTTTCTCCACATTAAATTTTATGTTGTTTAATAGGATCCATTATTCAAGTCTGAACAAGTCTTCTGGGATGTTGGCTATTCCTGCCAGCTTAGTGTCATCTGCAAATTTCATGAGTTCTCCTTCTATTCACTCATCTAAGTCATTTATGAAAATATTGAACAGTACTAGGCCTAAGATGGAGCGTTGTAGTACTCCACTGCTTATGTCCCTCCATGTAGTTGTAGTACCATTAAGAATTATTCGTTGAGTGGTTTATCGGCCAGTTACAAATCCATCTGGTGGTGATGATATCTACCCCATATTTATCTAGCTTACTAAGAAATAGTATACTATGTCCACAGCATTTTGCTGGTATACTAATTTAGTCACTTTGTCAAAAAATAAAATAAGATTGGTTTGGCATGATCTGTTTTTAACACACCCATGCTGCATCCTAGTTATAACTTTATTTGTTTTGAGATATTCAAAGATCTGATTTTTATTATCTTTTCCATGATCTTCCCAGGTATTGATACCAGACTGATTGGTCTGTAGTTTCCTGGGTCTGGATTTTTTTTTTTTTTCATCATTTTTTCATCATCTCTGACAAGAGATTTGCATCTCATCTAAAAATTATACTGAGGAAAGCTCCTTGATAAAACATCTCTAAATTGGTTTCAGAAACTTGTGGAGCCTGGATTGTATTTGCTTGGTATTTTGGTTATTCTGCTGCTTTCAGTCACCCTTTGTAGTGAGTAAAAGGAGAAAAAGCAATTCAGTTTTGATTTTTGAAGGTCAATTCATTTGTCATGGGGGGTTGACGAACTGACCTAGTTGCTGATTTTGGAGAAAGCAGTCCCACTGGGCCAGCCTAGTATGTAGGTGTTAGGGACTAGAACCCTGAGGGAGACACATATCCTTATTCTGCTGTTAGGGACTAGACCCCTGAGGAAGACTTATATCTTCATTCTGCTCTTAGGGACTAGAACCTTGAGGGAGACTCATATCCTGATTCTGCTGTTAGGGATTAGAACCCTGAGGAAGACTCATTATGCTGGTCTAGCTTAAAATTTGGACCAAGAGTAGAACAAGGAATAAAATCTGTGCATATTGACAGAGTGAATGAAGTGGGTCCATTCCTTACCCCTTAGTTGATCTAAGATGAAATAGAAATGATGGCAGATTGCTTTGCTTTTGAGGAAAAAAATAAGTGCTTACTTTGAAGGGATTTTTTTTTCTGATGTTAACCCTATACTGACATATCAGCTGGTCAATTATATTCACCAAGTTATACAACTGCACAGAACTTTTTATTAGATCTATTGTTTGTTGCCCTATTCTTTTTTTTCCTTTCCCCAATAACAAATTGTAGTATTACACTGTTTCTCTTTTTGCTGTATTCTTTTATGGTAAATGCTGGTGAATGACTATAAAAAAATATTTTATTTCATTTGGTTTTATCATAGATTGGGGGAAATGGAACATCATGTGAACGCAGCAGGAAGAAAAGTGTCAACCTGCATTTTATTTGCCTGGCATTTTTGTTATTCTGCTTCTGTGAGCCAACCTTTGTAGTCAGTAAAAGGGGAAAAAAAGCAATTCAGTTTTTATTTTTGAAGGTCAGTTCAGTTGTCATAAGGGCTGATGAAGTGACCTGCTTGCTGATTTTGGAGAAAGCAGTCCCACTGAGCCAGCCTATTATATAGATGTTAGGGACTACAACTCTGCAGGAGACTCATATCCTCATGAGGCTGTTAGGGATTAGAACCCTGAGGGAAATGCATTTGGCTGGTTTACCTTAAAATTTGGTGAAACAAGAGAAAGAGGGTGGAGGGAAATTGGAAGGATAAGTTAAGTACCCAAAGTAGATGTCACTTCCTGATTGGATAAACAGAAAACAAAAATACTTGTTAAGATTATGGCTTTTGTACATTATAAAAAATAAAATATGTCTTAACATAGGTGACCATAACAAATCTTTTAAAATAAATGAACAATTAAAAGAAATTATGTTGAGCTATGGAATGTTTTTGAGAAATGACAATCTGACAATATCTCTTTGTCCTTTTAAAAAATCTACACAAGGACTCGAAGCCATACTCTGAAAAAACCAGAGTTAAACAGTATGATTCCAGATCAGTAAAGAAATGAGACAACACTGTACTCTCCTTTCTTATTTATTCATCTCATATATTCAATGGATATTGAAGAAATGTAGATTAGAAGACAAATAACATGGTTTTCAATTGCTGGAAGAAACATCAATAACCTTCACTATGCTATTTATTGATAGTAAGATTAATCACATGGGAGGGAAAAAATTATTTGAACAAATAACTGTTTGCAATGTCTTATTTTAACTTAGCAATAATTTGGATAAAATGTAACTGCCAAAATCTAGATCACTCATTGTTTTTCAACATTAGATGCTCCTTCGCATTCATGTCAGGTCTCAGAATGATGATATAACATTTGGGGACAAAGATGCAGCCAAGTAAGCCGAGGCTGGAGGTCAGGATGGAGAAGATCTGCACAGCCACCATGTATTTTCCTTTGGTGCTCAGGTAAGCGGGGACAAAAGAAACCCAAACACTGCAGAAGAGCAGCATGCTGAAGGTGATCCACTTGGCTTCATTGAAGCCCCCTGGTAGTTTTCGGGCTAGAAAAGCCACCAAGAAACAGATGGAAGCCAGAAAGCCTAAGTAGCCAAGGGCAGAATAGAACAGGATGACTGAACCTTCATTGCATTGCAGTAGGATCTGCCCTTTTTGGGAATATAAGTCAGAATCTGGGAATGGGGGAAAGATTCCCAGCCATATGAAACAGATGCCCACCTGAACACCAGAGCAGGAGAAGATAATGCAATTGGCCAAAGATTTCCCCAGCCATTTCCTCATTTTGCTTCCTGGCTTTGTGGCCAGAAATGCCATCACCACCATGATAGTCTTGGCCAGCAAGGATGACACAGCAACTGAGAAAACAATACTGAAGGCAGTTTGTCGAAGAAGACAGGTCACTTTCTTGGGTTGACCAATGAATAGAAGGGAAGTCAAGAAGGAAAGCAGGAGAAAGATCAGGAGAATGTAGGTGAGATCACGGTTGTTAGCTTTGACTATGGGAGTTTCTCGATATTTAATAAAAATTCCTAGAACTAAGGCAGAGGTAAGAGACAAAAAAAGGGTAGAGACAGCCAGGATGAGACCTAGGTTTTCTCTGTAGGACAGGAAAGTTATAACTTTGGCAACACACTGATCCCGCTTCTCGTTGGAGAAATGGTCATCTGGACATTTTGCACATTGGGCTACATCTGGAAAACACAACTGCTTTTTAAATAGTGATTCAATGACATTCAGTACATCATGACCAAACAAGCAGAAGCAGGATGTAGATAGAGCAATGAAGATTTTCTCTTTCTCTCTCTATTTATAAAGAAATTATATTATTCGAATAATGAAATCCAAGGAAAAAATGCTTAATTACTAAGAATGAATAAAGTAGTTAATTATGTTTATGAAAACCATTTCTCTCTTTCCTTTCGTTATTTCCCCAAGCTGTGAGTAGAATAAACACAAAAACACAAACACACCACTTCCACACATAATCTATTTGTTTCTCTCTGTGTGTTTTATTTTAAAGTGTAAAGATTCTTGCTGGCATCTGATATTAGGTTTGATTCATCTCACAACTTTCTGGTTAAAAATCATGTTCTAAAGCTTTAAATATATCCTGCTGTTCAATGTGTTCCACATACAGGAGCTATTCTTTTTAAAAGTTGCTTAAACTTAATCACAGATTCTGTAGTTCAGCGTTTTCAACCTTCACATTAAAACATGTACTTCAGTTCCCAGAATTCCTCAGCCAGAATTTCCCAATTCCCTGAATTCCATGGCTCCTGAGGAATTCTGGGAGTTCATGTCCACATGACTTAATGTTGCCAAGAATCACTGCTGTAGGTATTGTCAAGTGTCATTGCTGCATATTCTCCAAATTGACCTCCCAATCTGACATCACTGACAGAATATCTATTTTTCCAATTCTCTCCTAACTTTCTTCTTGCGACTGCCAGAAAAAATAGGTTTAGGATTAGCATTTTTTATTTATTTATTTATTTATTTTGCTTTTTGAAACTATACCTATAAAGAATATTTGTGATTTCAGTTCATTTTGTATAGGATTTTCTTGAATAATTTGATGTATTTCATTCCAATGCTTTTGAGGTTTTTTTGCATAACCACTACAGATGATAAAGTGTTCCTTTTTCTCGTGGGTTTTCCAACATTAAATGTTCTATTATTTGTTTATTTTGCAATTGTTGATGTAGCTATAGAACATTTGAAACACATTTTGCAGCAATTTCCCCTTAAATTATAAGTTGGCGTGAATTTTCTGTATTTTTCTTTTTGAAAGCTCTTCGCATTTTTGTATTGTGGTTAATTGTTTGCCATTTTGCATCCATTTTATCATAAAAATGTTTATTTTTTTCCATCTCCATGTTGTATTTCAAAAACAATTTATATATGGTTCTTAATCATAAGTCTTGTTTTCTATATGTGTTTCAAATGCTATTGTGTTTCTTAAGGTTTCTCAATCTTTTTGAAAAATTGCTTGTTATTGTTTCAGCAACCTGGGAAAACATTCACAATGGTGAATTTTACCTTCACTGAACAGTTCTTGCAGTGTTTTTAGTCTGTTTCCTGAGTCTAGATGTAGCATATTGGTATATGAGAACAAATCTTGCTAATACCAGAACTGTGGTGGCACAGTGATTAGAATGCAGTATTGCAGTCTAACTCTGCCCACAGCCTGGAGTTTTATACTGATCAACTCAAGGTTGAATTAGTCTTCCATCCTTTCAAGATCAGTAAAATGAGGACCCAGATTTTTGAGGGGCAATATGTTGATTCTGTAAACTGCTTAGAGCATGCTGTGAAGCACTATGAAGTAATATATGTCTAAGTGCAATTCCTATTGCTACTATATTATCCTTAGAATAAAAGACTAGTGCTGCTTCTTTGTTCTTGAATTACCTACCTTCCTGCACAGAGATGGTTCCTTCCATACATGGAGAACAGTCGTAGCAGCAAACTGGTTCTCCCTCTCTTGTCAGCTTGGTATATCCTGGGAGGCAACTTTCTGTACACCTAGAAAAGGGGGCCTTCTGAACAGAAAGAAAAATCAGAGAAATGTATGAATGAGGGGATTACTTCTAAATATGGAAGCGAGCACCAAAGTGGGTTCATGAATTCAAGAAGGCACTTTCAAGATCTTTTTCAAAATACAATGAAAATATTTTTGTTTTAGTGAAATTTTTCCACTAGCAGTTTCATTTCAGCAGGCTATGATTTCCGAGTCCCCTTAATGTTCAGAAAAAGCTGCTGACTCTCCAGTCCAATCATCATTATCCCGGGATTTTTCTGCATTTGGGCTTCAGATCCTATCAGATTCAGCCAACTGGTCAACGATACAAAACTGTGGAAAGTCTAGTCCAAAGGTTGGAAAAGAAAGGGTTACTTCATCTTATATTAGCAATTGCTAGAACATCATCTGTCACAACATTTCCTCTGCCTTCTTACAATATGTATTTCTTAGATCTCAATTTACTATCAACTCACTCTCAAAGGAGACTCCAGTTCTAAAAAAACATTGAATGATTCAATAGAAGAAAATCTGTGTAACTCAGTGTTGAATTGTAAACTCCTTGATGCTCTCTGGTTTTAACTGCCTGTTTGCAGTTATTTCATTACTTGAGTAAATAACATTATCACTGCTATCATCAGGCACTGATGATGTTACTTAGTTGGGAAATTAACCAATGAAATTACCTGCAAACAAACAACCAAGCTCAGAGAACACCAAAGATTCCCCTGAATAAAACACCCTACCGTAAGTCCCTCAGTGTCAAAGGCCAGTTCCCTGGTTTGTGATGCTCCTAAGTTTCCTTACGTGCTACAAGCAGCTTTGGCCTAGCCAACAACATGTTTTCCATTCTACACCATTCTTTCCCATCATAAGAAATAGATTTTTTAAAAGTATTTTATTAGTTTTCTATCATTACAATTCATTTGTGCTTAATGAACAATGTGTTGTCTGGCTTGATTTTTGCCTAGTCATATTGGTTAAATTCTTACTCTCTGCCCTGCTTTTCCAATCATTGATAAAATAAGTTCTATATTTGAAAGTATTCTGTATCTTCTTTTCCTTTGATTCTCAATGTGAGTCTATCCATTTCTGCACAGTCCAATATGTTCTTCATTATTGCTTCTTTCAATTGTGCTATCTCATTTTTCCAGTGCAGTGCAAATACATGTAATGTTAAATATACATTTTGTTTATCAAACTTTTCTAGCATTATGCCTAGTAAAAAAACAGTTCAGGTTTAAAATCTACATGTTTTCCTAACATCTTTTCTCATCAAGTATGTATTTTAGTCCAAAAGTTTTTTATTTATTTATTTATTTATTTCTAAAATTTATATGCCGCCCAATCCCAAGGGACTCAGGGTGGCGTACAAAATTAAAACAATAATATGACAATAAAACAATAAAATAAATACATTCATACAGCGTGTCCGATCATATCCCCCCCCCCCCGGGGACATCAGCCCCAGGCCTGCCAGAACAGTAGAGTTTTAATGGCTTTCTTAAAGGCCAGCAGGATAGGAGTAGTTCGAACCTCGGGGGGAAGTTGATTCCACCAGGTCGGAGCTACCACAGAAAAGGCCCTTCCCTGAGGGCCTGCCAGCCGACATTGTCTGGCCGACGGGACCTGAAGGAGGCCCAATCTGTGGGACCTCACCAGTCTCTGGGAACTGTGCGGCAGTATGCGGTCCTGTAAGTAACCTGGCCCTATGCCATGAAGGGCTTTAAAGGTGATAACCAACACCTTGAATTGCGTCCGGAGACCCACAGGAAACCAGTGCAGCTCGCGGAGGATAGGTGACACATGGGCGTACCTTGGCGCGCCCAGAACCGCTCTCGTGGCTGCATTCTGAACCAACTGCAGCCTCCGAACGCTCTTCAAGGGTAGCCCCATGTAGAGCGCGTTACAGTAATCCAGTCTTGAGGTGACAAGGGCATGAGTGACTGTGAGTAAAGCCTCCCGGTCTGCTTTTACACATGTCCACCACAAGTGATAATATGTACTGGGATTTTGATTACATTTCCAACATTTGCTAGACATATTTTTAAACATTTTTGCTAATCTAACAGTAGCAATTTCAATCAAGAATCTTTTCAATCTCTCTGCTATTACTGAGGCAAAAAATGTATAATCCACATTTAATAATAATATTGGTCTATAATTTTTCATCTGTGTCAAATCTGAATCTTCTCTTCATATTAAAGTAATACTTGCTTCCATCCATGTGTTTGGTAGTTTGGCCTCTAATAATACTTCGTTACACACTTTCTTCATTGGTAGGCTTAATGTATCTTGTAGATATTTGTAAACCTCTGCGGGTAGCACATCCGGTCCTGGGATTTTATCATTTTTCTGTTTTTTTATAGCTTCTATGATTTCCATCATTGTAATTTTTTCATTTAATATATTTTTTAGGTTTCATGGTATTTTTGGTAGGTTTGCATTTTCCAAGTATTGTATCATTTTTTCTTGAGAAACTCCTTCTACATCATATAATTATTCATAAAATTCTTTGGTTTTTTTAATTGCATCAGTTTGAAATTGGAAGTCATCCTTCTCATCTTGTAGTTTATTATCAGTTTCTTCTCTCTTTCTTTTTTCAGTTTATATGCCAACCATTTTCCCAGCTTGTTTTTATTTTCAAAAAAGTTTTGTTTTATCCTTTTTATTTGTAGAGCCAATGGTTCTGACTCTATTAAATTTAATTTATGTTTCACTGTCTCCATTTGTCTTTTCACAATTTTCTTTTGTGGATGTATTTGTAATTCTAATTCCAGTTTCTTGAATTCTTCTCTGTTGTGTTTTTTTTTTGTTCTTTTTAGCCATATATGTTATAGCTAATCCTCTAAAATACTGTACTTTCTGGCGTATAAGATGACTTCCGCAAGCATTGTTGTCTTATTTGCCAGAATATACAGTACGCTTTGGCTATGTCCCATACATTCTGAATTGATATTGTTTCCCTTTTATTTTCTTTAAAGAAAAACTCCATTTCCTTTATTGCTAATTCTACAAATTGTTTCTCTTTTAACAAAGATTGATTCAAAGTCTATCTTGATTTCTTCTTTACCTCTTTCCGGGTCAGCATTATTGGATTATGATCCACCCAAATGTTAGGTTTTACCTCAATCTCATATATATTAGTACTTAATTAATTCTAGGCCAAGATTTATGTCTATTCCAATAAAACATGTACTGGGTCTTTTTTGGGTTACTTTCTGCCTAAGTATCCTGTATGGAAATTTCTTCTGTCATTCTAAAAAACACCTTAGGGAGTGTCTTTTTTCCCCTTTCCCCTCTTTTGCTGTTTCTATAATCTCACTTTCTATCTACAATTGCATTAAAATCTCCTATCAAACAAATGCTTTGATGTTCCATTTCCAATATTTTCCTTTGTAATTTTTGATATAATTCTTCTTGTTTGTTATTTGGTGCATATATTGCTACCATCAGTATCTGGTTTTGATTTATCATTATTTCTAGCATTAGGATTCCTCCTTCTTTATCTGAGTAGACCTGTTTGGATTCCAATGTCTCTTTTATATATAAAGTGGCCCCTCTTTTCTTTTGAGATGCTGATGTAAAATAAAGTTTCCCAATTTTGGAATATTCCAGCAATTTATAGTGTTGTTTTTTTATATGTGTTTCTTGGAGACAAATTATATCGATTTTTAGTTTCCGTAATCATGCAGAAAATATTTCTTTTTGATGGGGAGTTCAATTCATTTATATTCATTGAGAAAATTCCACTTTCTTTCTCCATCTTCTTATATTTAGGTTTTATTCACCTAGTGGACAATTCCTGTCTCTGTTCTTTTATCACCTACTCTCTTTCTTGATCTGTATTTTCTTTCCTTTTTCTTTTTCTTTTTCTTTTTCTTCTTCTTCTTCTTCTTCTTCTTCTTCTTCTTCTTCTTCTTCTTCTTCTTCTTCTTCTTCTTCTTCTTCTTCTTCTTCTTCTTCTTCTTCTTCTTCTTCTTCTTCTTCTACTACTATTTGTATGGGTGTCTCTTCTGTTACTAACTTTCTCTGTATTTCATCTTCCCTATCCCCTTGTGGTTCTTGTGTTTTCTCTTCAAGAAAACTTCTGTATGTCTCATAGAACTCTGTTGCCTTAAAGATGGAGTCCAATCTATAAGTTTTCACATCCCAATTTATTAATAGTCCCTCCAAGACCAACCATCTGAAATTAACTCCTTTTTCATTTAATTTTATAATCAAAAATTGGTAGTATTTTTGAGAATCTCTTATCCTCCTAGAGATCTGTTCAGAACCACAATTTCTTTTTTTCTATACATCATCATCTCATCTCTCACTCTCTTCAATATTTCATCTCTCATTGTTTTTTTCACAAATCTAACGTGAACCTAGGGAGTCTATGTCTCCTTGTGTAGCTTGAGTTAATTCTATATACCTGATCCAATTCTCCTTCCATCTCATTTTTTTCACTTCTACTGCCTCAGCAAACAAATTAGTAGTTAGGACTTCCCCCTTATCTTCAGGTATGTTCTGTTCTGTTAAAAAGTGTGATCTTTTTCCATTTCCAGAATTGTGATTGTATCTTCCCAGCTGTCAGTAGCTCTTGGACAGACTTGATGAATGCAGTCCGTCTTTCTTCTGTGGGTTTGGAGGGATTTCCTTAGATCAAATGGGCTAATTGCCATCTGCCCATGATCAACAAGGGTTTCCTCCTTTATTGTTGCCTCTCTGGGGTGACCTTTGGCCTTTTGGGGCTCCCTGGCAGAAGGAAATCAGCTGTGTGGTGTGGAGCTCCACACTCCCCACATCTGTATCACTACAACATCAAACCAGAAATCCCTTATCATAAGAATAGATCTTTTGAGAGGACCAGGAGAAATAGTGTCTCCTTCAACTTGTCCTTTTAGCAGTGGTGACTCTCCATCTGAGTTAAAAGACTGATAAACCAAAAAATCACATGGATACATCAGAACAGGTGAACAATAAAACCCACATGGAGGCAGATTTGGTTACCTGGTTAAAAGATGTTGGCCATATGATGGCGCTCTCATCCACAGAGATCTTGATGTCTGAAGACACTTCTTTTTCAACATTCCCAATTATCACCCCAGCAGCAGATTTGTTGGGAAATATTGCCCAGTCCATGATATTAAAGTCAGCAGTGGGAATTCCATACTCATTCAAATAAACGTCATTTACAGAAAAATTGTAAATCTGGAAGTTTCTTAGAAATGGATGGAGCTGAAAAGACATGGAGAATCACCCTAGCAATGTATACATTCTCATTTGAGCACTAAGTCAAAACAGAGGTACTTTATCCTAGTGCTTCTGTCTGCAAATGTGGTAGGAAGAGTATATTTTTCACTTTAATTACATCTCTCCCTCTCTTTCCCACTCCCATTGTTTCTTCCAGGCTCTTTCCACTCTGTCTGTCTGTCTATGTCTGTCTGTCTCCCCTTCTCACATACATACAGATCATTTTAATTTATTATTTTAGCCTGCTCTTCTTTATGACATTTGTAAGCTCAGATCCCAAACATGTTGTGCAACAATGGTGGAAGCTCAATAGAGCATGATGGTTATTGTCACATCCTTGTTTTTGTTAATTGTAAAGTCATATCCGACCCATTGTCACCCCATGGACAACGTTCCTCCAGGTCTTCCTGTCCTCTACCTTCTTCTGGAGTCCATTTAAGTTCACACCTACTGCTTCAGTGACTCCATCCAGCCACCTCATTCTCTGTTGTCCCCTTCTTGTGTTGCCCTCAATCTTTCCCAGCATTAGGCCCTTCTCCAGTGAGCCCTTCCTTCTCATTAGTTGGCCAAAGTATTTGAGTTTCATCTTCAGGATCTGGCCTTCTAAAGAGCAGTCGGGGTTGATCTCTTCTAGGACTGACTGGTTTGAACGCCTTGCAGTCCAAGGGACTCGCAGGAGTCTTCTCCATCATCATAGTTCAAAGGCCTCAATTCTTTGTCGCTCAGCCTTTTTTATGGTCCAATTTTCACATCCATACATTGCAACTGGGAAAACCATGGCCTTAACTGTATGCACTTTTGTTGGCAGGGCGATGTCTCTGCTTTTTAGTATGCTGTCTAGATTTGCCATAGCTTTCCTCCCCAGAAGCAAGCGTCTTTTAATTTCTTGGCTGCAGTCCCCATTTGAGGTGACCTTGGAGCCCAGGAAAATAAAATCTATCACTACGTCCATTTCTTCCCCATTCATTTGCCAGGAATTGAGAGGCCCAGATGCCATGATTTTGGTTTTCTTAATGTTGAGTTTCAAGCCAACTTTTGCACTCTCCTTCTTCACCCGCATTAAGAGGCTCTTTAATTCCTCTTCACATTCTGCCATTAGAATGGTATCATCTGCCTATCTTAGGTTGTTGATATTTCTCCTGGCAATCTTAATTTTAATTTTTTGATTCATCTAGCCCTGCCTTTCTCATGATGTCCTCTGCATATAAGTTAAATAGGCAGGGCAACAGTATACAGCCTTGCCAGACTCCTTTCCAATTTTGAACCAATCAGTGGTTCCGTGTCCAGTTCTCACTATTGCTTCTTGACCCACATATAGGTTTCTCAAGAGACAAATAAGATGGTCTGGTACTCCCATCTCTTTAAGAACTTGCCACAATTTGTTGTGATCCACACAATCAAAGTCTTTAGCATAGTCAATGAAGTGAACGTAGATGTTTTTCTGGAACACCCTAGCTTTCTCCATGATCCAGCGTATGTTGGCAATTTGATCTCTAGTTCCTCTGCCTCTTCGAAATCCTGCCTGTACTTCTGGTAGTTCTCAGTCAACATACTGATGGAGTCTAGCTTGTAGGATTTTAAAAAGTATAAAAAATGTAAAAAATGTCATATCCTACTGCTTATTTATTCAACAATTGTGAAAAGAAACTTCCAGTCTCTTGAAACATCATATCCTAATGTCACAAGCATCCTGAACCAGCACACCAGGTTTAATCTAGAAGAGTCAGCAACACAATCTATTTGTTTGGTCAGAACAAATATTAGAAACAGGCAATTGTTGTGAGGTTATCCCCATACGATGATGCTTATCTTTAATGTAACATTTAAGAATGGAAAGGGAACCATCAGCAACATTTTGAAGAAGCATTACCTGCCATGGCTGTACCATCTGGAGTGTCTGGTGGTCCCCAGCAGGAATCCTCCTCTTATTCATTTGGGAGGAAAAGGCAGCACTGAGGACCCAGGCCACAACCTGGATTGTTGTGGAAATACTGGAGCCATCCTCAGACAGGATTCTTTCAACCAGATCCGGGGATGGGATTTCCCAGGTCTCTTTTTCCAGGCATCTGTTCCAAACTTTCTTAGACAACAAAGGGCTTGAATAAGAACACAGAAATGCTGCCTTTCCAAACTTTCCTGTAGCAGAATAATGTGAATTAAAATCATAATATTGTGTCCTTTTCTTTCCCTTAGTTGAGAAAGATAATAAAAGATGGTTATGCTGGAGATTAACCAATTGGTAAAATAATCTCACATTTAAACCTGACAAAGCTGTAGCAATCCATACTTTTTCCTCAAACAGGATTTTTTTCTTTTCAATGTCTTGTATTACCACTGCTAGTATTAATGAGGATTGAGAGTCCAACTGACAAACAATACTTTTCACTTTAGTGTAGCTAAAATATTCAAGGATGTCCTTTCCCCTCCCTTCTCTAACAACCATGGGTAAGATTTCTGAAAAGGCAACACAGACACCTTTCCTTACAGCTTCTGGCACAAAAGTTCTTCTGAACCGTTCTCCACTTTCATTGTCCGGAGCAGCAAGGCCGATCCATGTCCATTGGAAATGCAGGAGCAACTTGATAATTGCCAAGTGAGGAGGTTCTTGTTTTGGACTCACTTGGTAGAAAAAAGGGAAATGATGTTTCTGCTCTGGAATGTGGCTGATGACCCCATAGTTGATCTAAGATGAAACACAAAAGATGGTTGATTGCTTTGCTTTTAAGGACAAAAATAAATTCTTATCTCTAAGGGATTTTTCTTCTGATGTTAACTCTATACTGACATATCAGCTGGTCAATTATATTCACCAAGTTATACAACTGCACAGAACTTTTCATTAGATATGCTGTTTTATTTTCCTTTTCTTTTTTCCTTTCCCCAATAACAAATTGCTGTATTACAGTGTTTCTCTTTTTGCTGTACTCTTGTATTATAAAGGCTTTGAAAATATATATCATTTGATTTGCTTTGATCATAGATTGGGGAAAATGGAACATCACGTGATGGCAGCAGAAAAAAAATATATCAACTGGGTATGTTTTCATTGTCTTTGTGCAAGTAGGGAAAAACTCTCTTAAAGGAACATTTGCCTATGTTATTTCCATTACAATCCTTAGAGATTTTGTTTGGAATTGGTTGGATTAAGGGTAAAAAGATGTTTTTGTCTGCCAAGACATGAGACTGCAGTGACTAGAAGACAGGGACATGCAAAATATGGTTGAGAGCACTTCAGATGAGCTATGGGTGAAGGTTCGTTCAGTTGAAAAATCTCTGGGTAACCTGTGTATCTTTTAAAAAAATAAAGATATGCAATGATGTAAGAATGAAGAAATGTATTTGAATGCCTGATGAAAATAGTATATTTCAGGCGTCCTATAAGCTCTGTCATCTGACTCATTTTATTCATTATTTGACCCCTTTTGGATTATCAGTAGACTTTACAAAATTAAATTAGCTTCAGTATTCATTCCTACTTGTGGAATTTTGTAGATGCCCAGCATAGTTGAAATGGAAGTAAAGAGCTCCGAATCAGTCCCTTCAAGCACAGCCAGAAGATTATTTTGTCTTCCACAACTGTAGTTTGGGACATTCTCTTGCCCTGTAGACAGCAAGTCCATCATGACCTCATATGTTATCCTTGCATTGAAAAAGTTCTCATAGATGCTGTAGCCCAGGGTGATGTTGGGTAGCAGCTTTGGATTCTGGTTGATCTCATGAGTGGCAAAGAAGAAGGGCAGGACACGCCATAAGCTCATACTCTGTATACTGCAAGATAAGAGACTGCAGTTGGTTTTCATCTTCAGTTCATAAAAACACATCATATTTCCTGAAGCTGTTCCTTTAAGGACATTTATAACTAATCAGTTGGATTGCTGTCTTATAAGTTTAGTACACAAATTTGACAATCTAATAATCTGAAATTAGTTATGGAATGCATCACCTTCTAATGTATCTCTAATGCTGTAGCCCAGGATGACCTTTGGTAACAGCTTTCTATTCTGGTTGGCCCCATGAAGGGGAAAGCAGGAGAAGATCAGACCAAAAGCTCACTCCCTATATTGTATAGCAGGAAATATTCTCAGAAATTAATTCCTCCAAAAATTAATTTGAGATACCTGTATCATTTTTTGGACCATGCCAGGTGATGGACTTCTTTGGATCTTGCTATTAGAAGCACAGTCTTATTGACCACAGAGGACCTTCTTTCCAATGTTTTTCTTGAAGCTCAAAATCATCCCAATTGGAAACTCTAGACCTGATCCCAACCATTATTTTCTCCAAATGGTGACTTAGAGATGCATTTTATAGTAATAAAATGCATCTCTAAGCAGATCAACTGTCATAGCAACTGGATGCACTTATTTAAAATTCACTTTGGAAAATCATTTCCGTATAAAAAAAACAGGGTTCTGTTAAATAAGTCTCTTTATGTTGATTTGATTTCTAATTGGAGTAATATTTAAGTGGAATTATTCTGGCAAAAGTTTCCTTGTTATTTATTTTTTCTGCTTTGATGACTCAGTTTAGTTGAAAGGGTGCCTTAAATTCAATGAGTTAATTGTCTTTGGTTTTGGATGGGTTGCAATGCCAACTGTTTGTTTGCTTTTAATGGATTTCCTTATGTCCTTAGAGGAAGAACTAAAAGACTTTTCCCTAAAAAATTTTATCCTTGTAGTTGCTTTAAGTCAGCAGTGACATCATAGCCCTTAATAACAACAATATCATTCAAAGTATCTAGTGATACTAGTGCCCCTTCTAAGACAGCTAGAAGTTTCAAAGGCTAAAGGGGGCTTCAATTTGGGAGATATAAAGTTCTTTGACTGTGCTTGATGGGGAAAAAGGAAGAGCTCTCTTCTGGAATAATAACCTGGGAAGTGCGGCAGATTCTTCCTGAATAATAGTATGCATCTTGGAAAATCTCCAACATTGTCTGTCTTTATTACTCGCTTACGTTTTTTTTTTTTTTCCTTCTGTTTGATTATGTCTGATTCTCAGAGAATGCCTGGACACGTTCCTGCAGTTTTCCTGGCAAGGTTTTTCAGAAATGATTTACCATTGCCTCCTTCCTGGCATTAAGAGAATGTGACTGATCCAGGGCTAGCCAGTTTAATTTATATCCAAGGCAAGACTAGAGGTCATGCTTTCCTGGTTTCTAACCTGAAACATTAGCATTCATATCAGCTAACCATCCCTATTAAAAGGAAAATAGGGGAAAAGATAAAATTAATCATTAGTGTTAAGTACACATCAGGAATTACCTTTGAAATCTGTGATATGGAGGCTTAAAGAAGACGTATGGTTTAAATACTGTGCTTGATGTAGAAATGATTCCACTAATCAGGAAATCTCCTGACTTGTAATAATTAAATATGCTACCTCCCTCTTTTTGTATGTTCAATGGACATTTGGTCATCAGCGTCCCACATGGAAAATGGGATACCAGGAGAAGCAGCATCAGCAGTATTTCAGATATCATGATGGAGATCTTCTGTAGTTCTGTGAGACAGGTGCCCACTGTCTTTGGCCTCAGAGCTGTCTAAGGAGAAGCACACTTCTCTTGCCAAAGAACACAGATAGGCTGACTTGATCAAGCAAGATGAAATTTAATCTGGCACATTAAAAGGACAACATTAAAATTCCGACCTGTACATTTGTGCCTACAGGAGTCTCACCGTGTGTTCTTCATCAACCATGAGGTCCTTGTGAACCAGATTTTCAGATTTTTATAAGAATTACTAAATATTTGTGAAATCCATTGATGAGGGTTACTAACATCTACCTTGTTTCAAAATAACTGTGGCTGAAAGAAGTCCCTTAGGCTTTAGTGGAAGATGAAGTAATCATTGTGATTTTGATAATTATACAGAGAAGAGGAAGAGGAACAAAAACTGCATATTGACAGAGTGAATGAAGTTGGTGCAGGGAAATTGGAAAAAAATTTACAGTAAATATGCAAAGCAGATCCTGACTGGATCAACAGAAAACAAAAATATTTGTTAAGAACTTCAATTTTCAAGATTATAAAACATTGGCAAGAAACTAGGTTTCGGGCAAAGACAAAGGTTAAATATCTGGGGTTACATTGACAAGTAAAAAGTCTAAATTGTTTCAAAACAATTTTATACTTGGAAAAACAATTTGGAACTCTGATTTTATATATGGTGACAGCAACAAAACTGCTCTATGCACAAAAATGGAAGGAGGCTTCCATTCTCACCATGCACAATTGTTTACAAAAGCTGATGGAATTAGCAGAGATGGCCCAATTGATTATTTTCATAAAAGAAAAGAATATAAGTACTTTTGTTTCTATTTGGAATATGTTATTTTTATTCCAGACTTTACTGATATTGACAACTGACACTGTAGTTAACCAATGGCAAAAAATAAATAAATCTAAATTCATCTGGTAAGGGTTAGCATTAGGATTAGGTAAACTACTGCAAAATGATAAAGAAAGAGGAGCTTTGGGTTTACCAGATTTGAAACTGTATTTTGATACCTGCTCTTGGATCTGGATGAAAGAGTGGGTGACTCTCCAAAATAAGAGATTACTCAAATTAGAAGGTCATGAACTAAGATTTGGATGGCATGCCCACTTATGGGATGACAAGATTAAAATAAATGTTGACTTTAAGAATCTTTTTGCTAGGTGTGCCACCCTAGGGTTCTGGAATAAATATAAAATAAAGTTCTCTATGAAATTAACTCTTTGGGTGTCACCTTAGGAAGCTTTCTCTTAGAAAATAAATGATAGTGAGGCCAGACTGGTGGACCTATGGTTAAATAAGTGAACTTACTCTCAAGTCCAAAGAAGAGTTGGAGTCAGAAGGATTTGTCCGTCACTGGTTTACAAACCTATTGCTAAGGTTTATAAATTGTCACTGAAACTGAATGTGGAAAATGAATATATGAAACAGTATATGATCAAATGGACAAAAAAATTCAGGGTATAATATAAAACTTGTACAATGGGAAAACATGTGGCTAAAGGGTTTAATTACGCTTAATTACAATCTGAAAGAAATTTTTTATGCTATGATGTATCTTTGATCCTTAACAACCAATAAATTGTCAAACATGTATAAAGGTATTTCAGATGCATGTTGGAAATGTAAATGTAAATATAAAAAAGGAACTTTGTACTATCTTTGGTGAACCAAACCAAAAAAATATTATATTATCATGTTCATTTTGAGAATCTTCTATATTAAAATTCATCCCTGCCAAGGAAGGGACGAGGGAAGGGGGAGAGGTTGGCAGCACTTCACTCAAAGAATGACAGAGCCATTAGAGATCTTCTATCTAAACCACAGGTCGGCAACCCACAAGGGCACTTGTGCTTCCCTTCTCTCTCTCTCTCTCTCTCTCTCTCTCTCTCTGTAAGAAAGAGAGTGGCCTCATACTGTTCTCCAAGCCGAGAAGCTTATTGGGCAGGGCTCCTCCTTTGCTGCATCTCTGCAAGAAGCAGGAAGCAGCAGGAAGCAGCAAGTAGCATATCTCTCTCTCACACACACACACACACACACACACACACAGAGAGAGAGAGAGAGAGAGAGAGAGAGAGAGAGAGAGAGAGAGAGAGAGAGTAGGGGAAGAGGACTGACAGACCAAGGGCAGGAGAGAGCCAGCCCAATAAGAATGGTAGTCCCAGCTTGTCTGAGAACAGCATGAAGCCAGCTTGCCAGGTGAGCAGAAGATTGGAGAGAGGGGGAAGAGAGAGAGAGAAAGAGACAGAGACAGAGAGAGAGAGAGAGGAAAGATTGAGGGGGGAGAGAGAAAGACAGAGGGAGAGAGAGAGGGAGAGAGAGAAAAAACAAGGGGGAGAGAGAAAGATAGAGGGAGAGGAAAGAGAGAGAAAAAGAGAGAGGGAGAGGAAAGAGAGAAAAAGAGAGAGGGAGAGAGAGAGGAGAGAGAGGGAGAGAGAGGAGAGAGAGAGAGAAAGAGAGGGGGTGAGAGAGAGAGAGGGAGAGAGGGAGAGAGGGAGAGAGTGTGTGTGTGTGAGAGAGAGAGAAAGAGAGAGAGAGAGAGACAGAGAGAAACTCATGCACAGCACCCTCTATTTCTTTTTAATTAAACTCTTCAATCAAGCCCCCCCCCCTCCAGCAAGCTTGCATACATGCGCACATTTTGCAGCTCCCAGTGTTTTCTTTCTGTGGGAAACAGGTCCAAATGGCTCTTTGAATATTTAAGGTTGCCGATCCCTGATCTAGATCAACCCCCTGCTCAAGCAGGAGACCTATACCATTCCAGACAATGGAATGTCTATATCTCTGCTTAAAAGGAGCACCTACAACTTCTGAAGGCAAACCTTACATTGGTTAGTTCAGGGTCCCCAACCTGTGGGCCATGGCCCACTACCAGGCCATGGCTTGCTGTCTAGCAGGCCATAGAAAAGTCTGGTCAGGGCACACATGTGTGCTCACCCCCATTTGCTCTAGTGCCTCGGTCACAGAGAAAACGGGACACCGCGTGGCAAAAATGTGGCAGTGCTGGTGTCATGCACAGGCTAGCACTGCCCCATTTGCATCATGCCTACTTGCAGCCCTGTTTGTGTGTACACACACAGACATGTGTAAAATGCTTCCCCCTCCCTTTCCCTCTGGTCCACCAACCAAGAAAGGTTGCAAACCCCAGGATTAATAGTTTTCACTCCTTAGTTCTAGGCTGGTTTTCTCCTTGATTAGTTTCCATCTAGTGTTTCTTGTCTTGCCTTCTGGTGCTTTGAAAAGTAGGTTGACTCCTTCTTTGTGGCAGCCCCTCAAATATTGGAACAGTGCTATCATGTCATCACCGTTTGTCATATGTTTTAGCCTCCAGCCCCCTAATCATCTTTGTTTACCATCCATTAAGATCAGATGCTCCCACTGGTTTTGTGTATAGAACAATGAATGGCCAAGAGCAGAGCCTTCTCAGAGACAGCACCCCAAAAATAGAACTTTCTCCCAAGGAAAATATGAACAGTACATCCCTCACCCATTTAGAGGCAACTCCAAACACACTGTTCAGCCAGGCATATGTAGAACAACAACAAATTTCATGGTCAAACAGCATTAATGAAATTACTACTAATATTTTTCTTTCTTAAAATATACACTTTTAATAATTTTAAGCAGTGCTGGTAATGCTTTACAATAGTTGTATTTGAGGGTTTTCTTGTAAACCACCTGGATTTCTCAGAAACATTGAATTTTGAATTAGATATTGATTTAATAAATTAGGCAGAAGAAACAAATGCTTAAATACATTTAAATTCCACAGACCCACTGCCTCCTAGGTGCATACTGCAGAGAAAATAAGGCATTTCTTTTCTAGCCAGCACAAGGTTCCTGTGGTTTCAACACCTTCTATCACAGTGGTTCTCAACCTGTGGGTCGGGACCCCATTTGGGGTCGAATGACCATTTCACGGGGGTCGCCAAACCATGCTGTCCACCATTTTTTTCCCTTTTCCCTAGCTGTCCTAATCCCTCTTATTGGTGGCCACACCCACTTGGGGGTCACCACAACATGGGGAACTGTATTATGGGGTCATGGCATTAGAAAGGTTGAAAATCACTGTTCTATCATTTCATCTCTGTTAGTGAGAATTAAGTTCAATATGGCTGCTTCGTTTTTCTACTTTTGGGGAGACAAAGTTGTCTGCTAGGTTTGTCAGGAACCTATTTGATCTTCCACTTAGTGCAGAGTTTGTCTTCCAGTTGATGTCAGGGTAGTTAAAATCACCCATTACTGTTGTGATATGCTACCTACATACCTTAGTTAACTGACTAACAAAAACTTCATCTACTTCTTCTGTTTGATTGAGTGGCCTATAGTATACACCTATGGCAATGTCATTTTTTCCCCTTTTATTATATTGACCCAAATGCATTCAAAACAGTTTTCATCATTGTTGTGATTACTACCTATCTTGGTGCGACACTCACTATTAAAAGCTTGATTTTGTTTGACAGCAAGGTTGATATTCTTACCTGCAAAACATCTATGTTACATGTACTGATAATCCTATTAGTTTTAGATTGCTGGGGACAGAAATGTTCTATATCAATTAACTCACTGTCCCTATTGTTTAGTTTGAATGTTTCTCCAGAAAATCTGTGGATTTAACTCAATCCCTTTAGCTACATATTGAAATCTGATATACACTGGCCTTTTCCTTTTTGGTCCTTATATAGTGGTAAAACCATTAAAGAAGTAAGCCTAAAGCCTATCCTACTAAGTTCCTGCCCAAACTCTGGAAATCATTCTGCACAGAGAGCACATCTTTTTGGGACAGATCATTCATGCCAAGATGTAAAATAGCATCAATATCACAGTCCTTACTAGTATTCTTGACTATCTTAAAAATATGTCTTTTGTCTCTGCTGGCAGTAGCACCTGGCAGACACCTGATGTTAGAACCCAATGCATTTTGTCTTTCTTTTTCATTTTCAGATTCTGCCGTTCCAATGGGAGGAGAGGCACCTATGATCTGGAGGCAACCATATGGAATAGCTGATTTTCTATGTGATACACACCAGACAGAATAAGAATAAATTATAATGTCCCCACTGGCTAGTTAAAAAAGAAAGCGGCCCTTGGTGTTTTCAGAGCTTGCTTGTTTTCTAGCAGATGTTTACCCTAACTACAAGTTACCCTAACTAGATAATAATATCAGTGCTAGTAAGGAGAGCTGTTTGTTGTCAGTTTATATTCTGGTGTCTTGCCTGTCTGGGTGGGTGGGGGTGGTCTTAGGGATTCTATGGTTGGGCTGTATACTAATGGCTCTTTGGCAGTTTCTTGATTGGGTTATTGCTTACTTGATTGTAGGTCTGAAGTTGACTTTGAAGTTATCTATGCTGATCTGAGAGCTGATTGCTGGTGGAGGTGTACTGGAGTCTTTTTCTCTTTGGGGCTGGTTGATTGTCTCATACCCAATTCCATCAACCGTTCCTTACATCTTTTAGCCTCCAGTCCCCTAATCATCTTTGTTGCTCTTCTCTGCACTCTTTCTAGAGTCTCAACCTCTTTTTTACACCGTGGTGACCAAAACTGGATGCAGTGTTCCAAGTGTGGCCTTACAAAGGCATTGTAAAGTGGTATTAACACTTCACGTGACCTTGATTCTCTCCCTCTGTTAATGCAGCCTAACACAGTGCTGGCTTTTTTGGCTGCTGCAGCACAAGGCTGGCTCATATTTAAGTGATTGTCCACTAGGAGTCTGAGATCCCTCTCACAGTTACTACTATTGAACAAGGTACAACCTATACTATACCTCTACATTTGATTTTTCTTGCCTACATGTAGAACCTTACTTTTTTCACTGGTTAAAATCATGGCTTTTGAAGATTATAAAACATAAAATATATCTTAACATATGTGGCCATAAAAAACTTTTAAAATAAATGAATAATTAAAAGAAATTATGTTGAGCTATGGAATGTTTTTGAGAAATGACAATCTGAAATGGCAAAGATTTCGGCTTTCTTAAAAGAGCAAATGCAAGAGAAATTTTTTGCTGTATGGGAAAAATGGATAAATTTTATACAATTTAAATTGGATATGAAAAAATACCATTTAGCTTTTTTATAACTTGTATAAAAACTCTACTTTTTTTCTTTGCTTTTTTTTAAATATTTTTTTAAAATATTTTTTTCTTTTTAAGGTTTATAATTCTTTATTTATATATATTTTGTTCTTAATTATCTTATAATTTTGTTAATTTCTTTTAATTAAGCCTATATTCTGCTCTGGGAAGCTCGGGGCGGGAGGGGGTGATTTGGGAGGGGTTGGGGGAGGGTTGTTTTGTTTTGTTTTGTTTTTTTTGTCTTATTGTAGTTGTTATTGTTTTTTTTCTGTCTTTGTAAAAGTTTTTAAAAAATTTTCAATAAAAAAAGAGAAATGACAATCTGACAATATCTCTTTGTCCTTTTAAAAAATTTACACAAGGACTCGAAGCCAGACTCTGAACAAAACAGAGTTAAACAGTATGATCCCAGATCAGTAAAGAAATGAGACAACACTGTATTCTCCTCTCTTATGTATGCATCTCGTACATTGAATGGATATTGAAGAAATGTAGGTTAGAAGACAAATGACATGGTTTTAAATTGGTGGAGGAAACATCAATAACCTTCACTGTGCTATTTAATGATAGTAAAATTAATCACATGGGAGAAAGAAAAAAATCTTTGAACAAATAACTGTTTACAATGTCTTATTTTAATTTAGCAATAATTTGGATAAAATATAACTGCCAAAATCAAGATCATTCATTGTTTTTCATCATTAGATGCTCCTTCGCGTTCATGTCAGGTCTCAGAATGATGATATAACATTTCGGGACAAAGATGCAGCCAAGTAAGCCGAGGCTGGAGGTCAGGATGGAGAAGATCTGCACAGCCACCATGTATTTTCCTTTGGTGCTCAGGTAGGCGGGGACAAAAGAAACCCAAACACTGCAGAAGAGCAGCATGCTGAAGGTGATCCACTTGGCTTCGTTGAAGCCCCCTGGTAGTTTTCGGGCTAGAAAAGCCACCAAGAAACAGATGGAAGCCAGAAAGCCCAAGTAGCCAAGGGCAGAATAGAACATGATGACTGAACCTTCATTGCACTGCAGTAGGATCTGCCCTTTTTGGGAATATAAATCAGAATCTGGGAATGGGGGAAAGATTCCCAGCCATATGAAACAGATGCCCACCTGAACACCAGAGCAGGAGAAGATGATGAAATTGGCCAAAGATTTCCCCAGCCATTTCCTTATTTTGCTTCCTGGCTTTGTGGCCAGAAATGCCATCACCACCATGATAGTCTTGGCCAGCAAGGATGACACAGCAACTGAGAAAACAACACTGAAGGCAGTTTGTCGAAGAAGACAGGTCACTTTCTTGGGTTGACCAATGAATAGAAGGGAAGTCAAGAAGGAAAGCAGGAGAAAGATCAGCAGAATGTAGGTGAGATCACGATTGTTAGCTTTGACTATGGGAGTTTCTCGATATTTAATAAAAATTCCTAGAACTAAGGCAGTGGTAAGAGACAAAAAAAGGGCAAATACAGCCAGGATGAGACCTAAGTTTTCTCTGTAGGACAGGAAAGTTATAACTTTGGTGACACACTGATCCCGCTTCTCGTTGGAGAAATGGTCATCTGGACATTTTGCACATTGGGCTACATCTGGAAAACACAACTGCTTTTTAAATAGTGGTTCAATGACATTCAGCACATAATGACCAACCAACCAGAAACAGAATGTAGATAGAGCAATAAAGAGCAATAAAGATTCTGTCTGTCTGTCTGTCTCTCTCTCTCTCTCTCTCTCTCTCTAAAAATATTATTAAAATAATGAAATGCAAGGGAAAAATGCTTAATTACTAAGCATGAATAAAGTAGTTAATTATGTTTATGGAAAACATTCTTCCCTTTTGTTATTTCCCCAAGCTGTGAGTAGAATAAACAAAAATACATACACAAACAACTTCCACACATAATCTATTTGTTTCTCTCTCTGTGTGTTTTACTTTAAAGTGTAAAGATTCTTGCTGGTATCTGATATTAGTTTTGATTCATCTCAAAAGTTTCTAGTTAAAAATCATGTTCTAAAGCTTTAAATATATCCTGCTGTGCAATGTGTTCCACATATGAGAGCTATTCTTTTTAAAAGTTGCTTAAACTTCATCACAGATACTGTAGATCAGTGTTTCTCAAACTTCACATTAAGACGTGTACTTCAGTTCCCAGAATTCCTCAGCCAGAATTCCCCAATTCCCTGAATTCCATGGCTCCTGAGGAATTCTGGGAATTCATGTCCCCATGACTTAATGTTGCAAAGAATCACTGCTGTACGCATTGTCAATTGTGTTATTGCTGCATATTCTGCAAATTGACCTCCCAATCTGACATCACTGACAAAATATCTATTTTTCCAATTCTCTCAAAAATTTGTTCAGGTTAGGGTAAGGGTTAGGGTTAGCATTTTTTTTTCTTTTTGAAACTATACTTATAAAGAATATTTGTAATTTCGGTTCATTTTGTATAGGATTTTTTCTGAATAATTTGATGTATTTCATTCCAATGCTTTTGAGGTTCTTCTGCATAACCACTACAGATGATAAAATGTTCCTTCTTATCATGGCTTTTCCAACTTTAAATGTTCTATTATTTGTTTATTTTGCAATTGTTGCCGCAATTTCCCCTTAAATTATAACTTGGTGTGAATTTTCTGTATTTTTCTTTTTGAAAGCTCTTCTCATTTTTGCATTGTGATCAACTGTTTGACATTTTGCATCCATTTTATCATAAAAATGTTTATTTTTTTCCATCTCCATGTTGTATTTCAAAAAGAAACTTATATATGGTTCTTAATCATAAATCTTGTTTTCTATATGTGTTTCAAATGCTGTCATATTTCTTAAGGTCTCTCAATCTTTTTCAAAATTGCTTGTTATTATTTCAGCAACTTGTGAAAACATTCACAATGGTGAATTTTACCTTCACTGAACAATTCTTGCAGTGTTTTTAGTCTGTTTCCTGAGTCTAGATGTAGCATATTGGTATACGAGAACAAATCTTGGTAATACTGACCAGCTCAAGGTTGAATCATTCTTCCATCCTTTCGAGTCAGTAAAATGAGGACCCAAATTTTTGAGGGGCAATATGCTGACTCTGTAAACTGCTTAGAGCATGCTGTAAAGCACTATGAAGCAACATATAAGTCTAAGTGCAATTCCTATTGCTACTATATTATCCTTAGAATAAAAGACTAGTGCTGCTTCTTTGTTCTTGAATTACCTACCTTCCTGCACAGAGATGGTTCCTTCCATACATGGAGAACAGTCATAGCAGCAAACTGGTTCTCCCTCTCTCATCAGCTTGGTATATCCTGGGAGGCAACTTTCTGTACACCTAGAAAACGGGGCCTTCTGAACAGAAAGAAAAATCAGAGAAATGTATGAATGAGGGGATTACTTCTAAAAATGGAAGCGAGCACCAAAGTGGGTTCATGAATTCAAGAAGGCACTTTCAAGATCTTTTTCCAAATACAATGAAAATATTTTTGTTTTAGTGAAATTTTTCCACTAGCAGTTTCGTTTCTGCAGGCTATGATCTCAGAGTCCCCGTAATGTTCAGAAAAAGCTGCTGACTCTCCAGTCCAATCATCATTATCCTGGGATTTTTCTGCATTTGTGCTTCAGATCCTACCAGCTTCAGCCAACTGGTCAATATTACAAAACTATGGAAAGCCTAGTCCAAAGCATGGAAAGCAAAGGCTTACTTCATCTTATCTTAGCAATTGCTAGAACACCATCTGTGGCAACATTACCTCTGCCTTCTTACAATATGTATTTCTTAGATCTCAATTTACTATCAATTAAGTCTCAAAGAAGACTCCAGTTCTAAAAAAACATTGAATGATTCAACAGAAGAAAACCTGTGTAACTCAGGGTTGAATTGTAAACTCCTTGATGCTCTCTGGTTTTGACTGCCTGTTTGCAGATATTTCATTATTTGAGTAGATAACATTATCAGTGCTATCATCAGGCATTGATGATGTTACTTAGTTGGGAAATTAATCAATGAAATTACCCGCAAACAAGCAAGCTCAGAGAACACCAAAGATTCCACTGAATAAAATGCCCTACCGTAAGTCCCTCAAAGTCAAAGGCCAGTTCCCTGGTTTGTGATGCTCCTAAGTTTCCTTACATGCTACAAGCAGCTTTGAGCTAGCCAACAACATGTTTTCCATTCTACACCAGAGCAATGCTGGTATTCCCATCAAAAGCAACAGATTTTTTTAAAGTATTTTATTAGTTTTCTTTCATTACAATTCATTTGTGCTTAATGAACAATGTGTTGTCTGGCTTGATTTTTGCCTAGTCATATTGGTTAAATTATTACTCTCTGTCCCGCCTTTCCAATCATTGATGAAATAAGTTCTGTATTTAAAATTATTCTGTATCTTCCTTTCCTTTGATTGTCAATGTGAGCCTGTCCATTTCTGCACAGTCCAATATTTTCTTAATTATCGCTTCTTTCGATGGTGTTATATCATTTTTCTAGTGCTGTGGAAATATAATCCTTGCTGCAGTTAATCCATGTATTGTTAAATATACATTTTGTTTATCAAACTTTTCTGGCCTTATGCCTAGTAAAAAAGGTTCAGGTTTAAAATCTATATGCTTTCCTAACATCTTTTCTCACCAAGTATGTATTTTAGTCCATTTTTTTGTCTTCTATACATGTCCCCCACAAGCGATAATATGTACCGGGATTTTGATTACATATCCAACATTTGCTAGACATATTTTGAAACATTTTTGCTAATCTAACAGTAGTAATTTCAATCAAGAACCTTTTCAATCTCTCTGCTATTATTGAGGCAAAAAAATATAATCCACATTTAATAATAATATTGGTGTATAATTTTTTTTATCTGTGACAAACCTGAATCTTCTCTTGATTTTTGCCTAGTCATATTGCTTACATTCTTTGAACTATGGTGCTGGAAAAGACTCCTGCGAGTCCCTTGGACTGCAAGGCGTTCAAACCGGTCAGTCCTAGAAGAGATCAACCCCGACTGCTTTTTAGAAGGCCAGATCCTGAAGTTGAAACTCAAATACTTTGGCCACCTAATGAGAAGGAAGGACTCACCGGGTCACTAATGCTGGGAAAGATTGAGGGCAATAGAAGAAGGGGATGACAGAGAATGAGATGGCTGGATGGAGTCACAGAAGCAGTAGGTGTGAACTTAAATGGACTCCAGAAGATGGTAGAGGACAGGAAGACCTGGAGGAACGTTGTCCATGGGGTCGCGATGGGTCGGACACGACTTCGCAATTAACAACAACAACAAATTGGTTAAATTCTTACTCTCTGCCCTGCTTTTCCAATCATTGATAAAATAAGTTCTATATTTGAAAGTATTCTGTATCTTCTTTTACTTTGATTCTCAATGTGAGTCTGTCCATTTCTGCATAGTCCAATATTTTCTTCATTATTGCTTCCTTCATTCGTGCTATCTCATTTTTCCAGTGCAGTGCAAATACATGTAATGTTAAATATACATTTCGTTTATCAAACTTTTCTAGCATTATGCCGAGTAAAAAAACAGTTCAGGTTTAAAATCTACATGTTTTCCTAACATCTTTTCTCATCAAGTATGTATTTTAGTCCAAAAGATTTTTGCTTTTACACATGTCCACCACAAGTGATAATATGTACTGGGATTTTGATTACATTTCCAACATTTGCTAGACATATTTTTAAACATTTTTGCTAATCTAACAGTAGCAATTTCAGTCAAGAATCTTCTCAATCTCTCTGCTATTACTGAGGCAAAAAATGTATAATCCACATTTAATAATAATATTGGTCTATAATTTTTCATCTGTGTCAAATCTGAATCTTCCCTTCATATTAAAGTAATACTTGCTTCCATCCTCTAATAATACCTCGTTACACACTTTCTTCATTGGTAGGCTTAATGTATCTTGTAGATATTTGTAAACCTCTGCGGATAGCACATCCGGTCCTGGTATTTTATCGTTTTTCTGCTTTTTTATAGCTTCTATGATTTCCATCATTGTAATTTTTTCATTTAATATATTTTTTAGGTTTTCTGATATTTTTGGTAGGTTTGGATTTTCCAAGTATTGTATCATTTTTTTCTCGAGAAATTCCTTCTACATCATATAATTTTTCATAAAATTCTTTGTTTTTTTAATTGCATCAGTTTGAAATTGTATGTCACCCTTCTCATCTTGTAGTTTATTATCAGTTTCTTCTCTCTTTCTTTTTTTAGTTTATATGCCAACCATCTTTCCGACTTGTTTGCATTTTCAAAAAATTTTTGTTTTACCCTTTTTATTTGTAGAGCCAATTCTTTTGACTCTATTAAATTTAATTTATGTTTCACTTTCTCCATTTGCCTTTTCACAATTTTCTTTTGTGGATGTATTTGTAATTCTAATTCCAGTTTCTTGAATTATTCTCTTAGTGTTGTAAATTGTTGGGGTTTTTTCTTTGTCCTTTTTAGCCATATATGTTATAGCTAATCCTCTAAAATACATTTTGGCTGTGTCCCATACATTCTGAATTGATGTTGCTTCCTTTTTATTTTCTTTAAAGAAATACTCCATTTCCTTTATTGCTATTTCTACAAATTGTTTCTCTTTTAACAAAGATTGATTCAAAGTCCATCTTGATTTTTTCTTTATCTCTTTATGGGTCATCTTTATTGGATTATGGTCCGCCCAAATATTAGGTTTTACCTCAATCTCATATATATTAGTACTTAGCTCAGGGGACATCCATATCATATCAATTCTAGACCAAGATTTATGTCTATTCGAATAAAATATGTACTGGTCTTTTTTGGGTTTCTTTCTCTATAAGTATCCTGTATGGAAATTTCTTCTGTCATTCTATCTTTCTTTCCTTTTTCCCTCCTTTGCTGCTTCTATAATATAATTTTTGATCGACAATTGCATTAAAATCTCCTATCAAGCAAATGTTTTGATGTTCCATTTCCAATATTTTCCTTTGTAATTTTTGATAAAATTCTTCTTGTTTGTTATTTGGTGCATATATTGCTACCATCAGTATCTGTTTTTGATTTATCATTATTTCTACCATTAGGATTCTTCCTTCTTCATCTGAGTAGACCTGCTTGGATTCTAATGTCTCTTTTATATATAAAGTGACTCCTCTTTTCTTTTGATGTGCTGATGTAAAATAAAGTTTCCCAATTTTGGGGCATTCCAGCAATTTATAGTGTTGTTTTTTTATATGTGTTTCTTGGAGACAAATTATATCTATTTTTAGTTTCCATAATCGTGCAAAAATCATTTCTTTTTGATGGGGAGTTCAATCCATTTATATTCATTGAGAAAATTCCACTTTCTTTCTCCAGCTTCTTTACTTATATTTAGGTTTTATTCACCTAGTGGGCCTTTCCTGTCTCTGTTCTTTTTTTTTTTTTTTTTATTGAAATTTTTCAAAAATTTTACAAATAAACATCCCCCCCCTCCCAAACCACCCCACCCTCCCCCCCCGACTTCCCAGAACTGAATATAGGATTATTTAACAAATTTTAGAAAATAACGTTTACAATTTATAAGATAATTAATAAAAATAATAAAGATCATAATAATAATATATATAATAATATATATAATAATAATATGCATAACATAAGCTTTAAAATGAATAATATATACTAAAAAGAAAGAAAAAAAAGGGAAAAGAAAAGAGAGAAAGAAAAAAGAAAAAAGTAAACGAAAAATAGAACATATATATAAAATATATATATATATAAATAATAATACGTAAAGAAAAAAGGAAGAAAGAAAGAAGGAAAAAACAATCATTACAAGTTATAAAAAAGCTAAATGGTATTTTTCCATATCCAAATTATATTGTATGAAATTTATCCATTTTTCCCATACTACAAAGAATTTCTCTTGAGATTGCTCCTTTAAAAAAGCCGAAATCTTTGCCATTTCTGCCAAATACGAAACTTTATGAAACCACTCTTGCAAAGTAGGCAAGGATTCCTTCTTCCAATATTGCCCTATTAACAGCCTAGCGGCTGTAATCAAATTTAACATCAATATAACCTCCTTAGCATCACAATCAGTAACAATACCTAGTAAAAATAATTGCGGAGTAAATTTTACCCTCCGTTTAAAAATTCTTTGGATATTCCACCATATCTTAATCCAAAAAGCTTTTATATGCTTACACGTCCACCAAATATGATAATAAGTAGCATCCAAATGTCCACATCTCCAGCATTTCGGCTGCAGATTAGGGTACATAATGGACATTTTCTTTGGATCAAGGTGCCATCTATAAAACATCTTATAAAAATTCTCTCTTAAATTTTGCGCTTGTGTGAATTTAACATTTCTTATCCAAATAAGTTCCCAGGTATCCATTGAAATCGTTTCACCAATATTCTGTACCCATTTAATCATACAATCTTTAACTAATTCAGGTTCTGAGTCCAATTCCACTAAAACCCCATAAACTCTCTTAATATGGGTTGGCCTTTGATCTCTTACTTGTTTTAAAAGAGCTTCATCTTCTCTAAGCCAGCCCATTTTACAATCCATCTTCCATCTGTCCACTATTTGTCTGTATTGGAACCATGAATAAGTTAAATTTTCATGCGTTAATTCTTCCAAAGATTTTAACTGCCAATCTTGGCCATCCCATCTAAGTAACTGTGCATAAGAGACCATATCCATATTAACCCCTTTCCTTATGCCTTCTATGGCATGCCGAGGTATAGCCCATAATGGTATTTTGAAGTCACTTTTATAATACTTTCTCCACACTCTAAGCAAAGAGATTCTTATAATATGAGACTTAAAAACCCAATCCACTTTTTTATTAAATATTAAATAGGCATGCCATCCAAAAAGTAAGTCCCAACCTTCCAAATGAAGTATTTCTATATTTGTTAAATTCACCCAGTCGCTGATCAATGTTAATACTACAGCATCATAATACAATTTCATATTTGGTACCTTGAGTCCTCCTCTCTCACGAAAATCTTGCATTATTTTAAGTTTCACCCTTGGTTTTTTCCCTGCCCAAACAAATTTATTAATACCTTTTTGCCATTCATCTAAATTACGTTCATTCTTTAAAATAGGTAACATTTGAAACAAAAAAATAAACTTTGGCAGGACATTCATTTTGATAACTGCAATTCTACCCATAAGGGATAACTGTAGATTGTTCCAGTTTTTTAAATCCTTCTGTACCTCCATCCACAGCTTTTCATAATTATTTTTATACAGTTTTGCATTAGAAGCAGATAATGTGACCCCCAAATATTTTACCTTATCAACAATTTCAAAATCTGTTAAGTTAACTAAAACCTGTTTATCACCATTAGTCATATTTTTAGCTAATATTTTGGTCTTATTATTATTAATTTTAAAACCAGAAACACATCCATATTGTTGAATCAATTGTAATAATTTTACCACCGAACAGGTAGGTTGAGACAAAGTAACAACCAAGTCATCTGCAAAGGCTCTTAATTTATATTCTTTTTTATTAATTTCTATTCCTTTTATTTCTTGAGACTCCCGAATTTTAATCAACAAAATTTCCAATGTTAAAACAAACAATAACGGAGATAACGGGCATCCCTGTCTTGTTCCTTTTTCTATTACAAAAGCCTCTGACAAACCCCCATTTACAATAAGTTGAGCAGTCTGTTTTTGATATATATTAGATAATACTTGTAATATATTTTGTCCAAAATTCATCTCCTTAATTAAACATAACATAAACTGCCAATTCACTTGGTCAAAGGCTTTTTCAGCATCCAAAAATATCAGGCCTGCAGAGACTTGGTTATTCTTTTCTAGATACTCTAATAAGTTAATAATTTGTCTAACATTATTTTTCATATACCTTCCAGTTATAAAGCCCGATTGATCCTTATGTATAAACTGCTGCAAGATCCCCATAAGCCTATTAGCTAAAATTTTTGCAAAGATTTTATAATCCACGTTTAAAAGAGATATAGGCCTATAATTTTTAGGCAATGTAAGATCTTGATTATCTTTTGGAATCAATGATATAAATGCATTACGCCAAGATGGAGGGATCTCTAAGCCCTGTAATAAATTATTAAACAATTCACACAATGGTTGAGTCATCTCTTCTACTAAAGTTTTGTAATAGATAGATGTCAACCCATCCGTACCCGGCGCTTTGCCCAATTTCAATTGTTTAATAGCTGTAACAATTTCTTCTTTAGTAATTAAGCCATTAATCTCTTTTTCCTGATCTTCTGTTAATTTAGGAAAGTTAACTTTACCTAAATAATTGTTTATATCTGTAGTCTGAATATTGGCACTCTTATATAATTTTTGATAATATTCTAAAAAGGATTTCTTAATCAATTCTTTCTGATAAACCAATTTACCATTATAATTTATTTTATCTATATTCCTCTGTTTCTGTTTCTTTCTTAACTGATAAGCCAGCCATCTCCCTGGTTTATTACCATTACAAAATATATTTTGTTTCATAAATAATAAATTGGTTGCAGCTTGATCAGCCATCAACATGTTAAATTGTGTTTTTAACAGTTTTAAAGCTCCTTTCACCTTTTCGTCTAAAGGATTTGAAATTAAAAGTTTCTCTTTTAATTTAATCTCCTCTTCTAAATCTTTACGTTTCTGAATCTGTTTCTGTCTATGCAAGTTATTCATTTTTATCAAGATACCACGCATAAAAGCTTTACTTGCATCCCACACCATTGACATTGATGTTCCCTTATTCATATTTAAAGCAAAATATTCCTTTAAACATTCCTTTAATTTATGAACATTTTTTTCTTGTTTGAATAAGTTCTCATTCACCCTCCAGGATCTCCTGTCTTCTTTCTCAGCAAACAGGTCCATCCATACTGGACTATGGTCAGACAATGTCTCTGTTCTTTTATCACCTACTATCTTTCTTGATTTGTGTTTTCTTTTTTTTTCTTCTTCTTCTCTTTGTATGGGTGTCTCTTCTGTTACTAACTTTCTCTGTATTTCATTTTCCCAATCTCCTTGTGGTTCTTGTGTTTTCTCTTCAAGAAAACTTCTGTATGTCTCATAGAACTCTGTTGCCTTAAACATGGAGTCCAATCTATATGTTTTCACATCCCAATTTATTAATATTCCCTCCAGGACCAACCATCTGAAATTCACTCCTTTTGCATTTAATTTTATAATCAAAAATTGGTAGTATTTTCGAGAATCTCTTATCCTCCTAGGGATCTGTTCAGGACCACAATTTCTTTTTTTTTTCTATACATCAGTGGCTCATCTCTCACTCTCTTCAATATTTCATCTCTCATTGTTTTTTTCACAAATCTAACGTGAACCTAGGGAGTCTATGTCTCCTTGTGTAGCTTGAGTTAATTCTATATACCTGATCCAATTCTCCTTCCATCTCATTTTTTTCCACTTCTAGAGCCTCAGCAAACAAATTAGTAATCATTTCTGTTAGGACTTCCTTCTTATCTTCAGGTATGTTCTGTAGTCTTAAAAAGTGTGACGCATTTTCCATTTCCAGTATTGTGGTTGTATCTTCCAAGCTTTTATTTTCCTGTGCTAATCTTTGATTTTCTCCTTTTCTTTCTTCCATCTTTTTCTCAGTTTCTTCTGATTTCTCTTCCATTTTCTGGATTTTTTGCTCATTCTTTATAATCATTTGTTGAGAATTTTCTAATTGTAAGTTTATATTGAAGACCTGCTCATTTATCTTATCCAAATTTTTTCGTGTCTCCTTGTTTCCTTGTATCTTCTTTATGCTGACCAAGACTATCATGGTGGTGATGGCATTTCTGGCCACAAAGCCAGGAAGCAAAATGAGGAAATGGCTGGGGAAATCTTTGGCCAATTGCATCATCTTCTCCTGCTCTGGGGTTCAGGTGGCCATCTGTTTCCTATGGCTGGGAATCTTTCCCCCATTCTCAGATTCTGACTTATATTCCGCAAAAGGGCAGATTCTACTGCAATGGAATGAAGGTTCAGTCATCATGTTCTATTCCTGAATTGATTGCAATGTTGTTTGCATTTCCTTTTGAAAATTGTTCACTTTTTTGTTGAATCATAACTTCAATCGATCTCTGATATACTGGGCTGGGCTACCCAGATGATGGTGCTGAAGCAGGTTTTTTACAAGGTTTAGCAAGGTTTGGGATACTCTTTTTTTATTCCCCCTCCAGTTACTCTATCATCAATCTGTTGTGCCCCCTGGAAAGTATCTTTATCTGAAAAAAAACCCAGATCTCATATTCAATACATCAGTACACAATTTAAATTTAAAATCATATTATGTAATTCTTATAGTTCTTGTCTGACGTGCCACAAAAAACCAAAAACTGTAGTCCAGTTTTGTCTGTCAGTATCAAGTCTGGAGGGGTAGTTATAAAGTCTAATGTAGCCCTTTGTCCAGAGTGCAAAGTCCAAGAGTTGCCAATCAATCAATGTTTGTAATCCAAAATGGCCAGCCAATCTTAAACCAATCAGTAAGACTCACCAAGCCAGGAGTAGTAAAAAGCCATATTGTTCTCTGTCTCAAGATGTTTCTTGAAATCCCAGGTCAACTGACATTTGTAATCCACAGTGTGCAGTATAATTCCATACATTCATTGATAAAATATTACATAAAATCCTGCTTCCGTCTTCAACTGTTTGTTACAGTTCTAAGAGCTTTCAAAGTCATCCAGCTGGCTGCTTATCTGTATCTGGGCTTTATCCCAAGTCTATCCCAGGGATAATATATTGAAAGATTTTGTCTCTATTTCACCACTAGCTGTCACTCTCCCAAGTAATTGGAGTTTAAATCGAAAGTTATTCATAAGATTAGTCTCATACTATTATTTTTCAAGCACAAATTAATAATTTTGACAGTTGATCAAATTTAGCAAAGCAATGTCTTTATATTACTCATTGTTTATCATTCTGTATTCTCTATTCCTGTCCCTCTTAAAGTTTTCTTCCTGCCAGTTTTGTTTCTCTGGTAAGGTGGGGGGGGGAATCCCCTTCCTCCAGTCACGCCTGGGGAGTTCTTGATTTGGGGGAATTTATCTATTCCAGGGAATAGTGTTCAAAAGTGGTAGATAGAAAGAGGATCTTCTCACCCAGTTCCATGACATGCTGTTATTGATCCTCTCATAGGGCTAGTCCCTGCCCTTCCCTGCTGTCAGTAGCTCTTGGACAGACTGCATGAATGCAGTCCCTATTTCTTCTGTCAGTTTGGAAGGATTTCCTCAGATCAAATGTCTAACTGACATCTGTCCATAATCAATGAGGGTTTCCTCCTTTGTTGTTGCCTCTCTGGGGTGACTTTTGACCCTTTGGGGCTCCCTGGAAGAAGGAAAATAAGTGTGGGATGTGGAGCTCTGCTCTCTCCACATCTGTATCACTACAACGTCAAACCAGATATCCCTTATTATAAGAACAGATATTTAGAGAGGACCAGGAGAAATAGTGTCTCCTTCAACCTGTCCTTTTAGCAGTGGTGACTCTCCATCTGAGTTAAAAAAACTGGTAAACCACAAAATCACATGGATACATAGGAATAGGTGAACAATAAAACCCACATAGAGGCAGACTTGGTTACCTGGTTAAAAGATGTTGGCCATACAATGGCATTCTCATCCACAAAGATCTTGATGTCTGAAGACTTCTTTTTCAACATTCCCAATTATCACCCCAGCAGCACATTTGTTGGAAAATACTGCCCAGTCCACAATATTAAAGTCAGCAGTGGAAATTCCATACTCATCCAAATAAACATCATTTACAGAAAAATTGTAAATCTGGATGTTTCTTAGAAATGGATGGAGCTGAAAAGACATGGAGAATCACCCTTGCAATGTATGCATTTGAGCACTAAATCAAAACAAAGGTACTTTATCCTAGTGCTGCTGTCTGCAAATATGGTAGGAAGAGTATATTTTTCACTTTAATTACATCTCTCCCTCTCTTTCTTTCCCACTCCCATTGTTTCTTCCAGGCTCTTTCCACTCTGTCTGTCTGTCTATGTCTATCTGTCTCCCCTTCTCACACACATACAGATCATTTTAATTTAATATTTTAGCCTGCTCTTTTTTATGAAATTGGTAAGCTCAGATCCCAAACATGTTGTGCAACAATGGTGGAAGCTCAATAGAGCATGATGGTCATTGTCACATCCTACTGCTTATTTATTCAACAATTGTGAAAAGAATCTTCCAGTCTCTTGAGACATCATATTGTAACCTCACAAGGATCCTAAAGCAGCAACCCAGGTTTAATCTAGAAGATTCAGCAACACAATCTATCTTTTTTTCTCTCTCTAAAATGCCTCATCTGGTCAGAACAAATATTAGAAACAGGCAATTGTTGTTGGGTTATCCCATAAGATGATGTTTGTCTTTAATGTAACATTTAAGAATTGAAAGGGAAACATCAGCAACATTTTGAAGAAGCATTACCTGCCATGGCTGTATCATCTGGAGTGTCTGGTGGTCCCCAGCAGGAATCCTCCTCTTACTCATTTGGGAGGAAAAGGCAGCACTGAGGACCCAGGCCACAACCTGGACTGTTGTGGAAATGCTGGAGCCATCCTCAGACAGGATTCTTCCAACCAGATCCATGGATGGGATTTCCCAGGTCTCTTTTTCCAGGCATCTGTTCCAAACTTTCTTAGACAACAAAGGACTTGAATAAGAACACTGAAATGCTGCCTCCCCAAACTTTCCTGTAGCAGAATAATGTGATTTAAAATCATAATATTGTGTCCTTTTCTTTGCCTTAGTTGAGAAAGATAATAAAAGATGGTTATGCTGGAGATCAACCAACTGGTAAAATAATCTCACATTTAAATCTGACAAAGCTGTAGCAATCCATACTTTTTCCTCAAACAGGATTTTTTTCTTTTCAATGTCTCGTATTACCACTGCTAGTATTAATGAGGACTGAGAGTCCAACTGACAAACAATACTTTTCACTTTAGTGTAGCTAAAATATTCAAGGATGTCCTTTAACCACCCTGCTCTAAGAACCCTGGGTAAGCTATCTGAAAAGGCAACACAGACACCTTTCCTTTCGGCTTCTGGCATAAAGGTTCTTCTGAACTTTTCTCCGCTTTCATTGTCTGGAGCAACAAGGCCGATCCACGTCCATTGAAAATGCAGGAGCAACTTGACAATTGCCAAGTGAGGAGGTTCTTGTTTTGGACTCATCCGGTAGAAAAAAGGGAAATGATGTTTCTGCTCTGAAATGTGGCTGATGACCCCATAGTTGATCTAAGATGAAACAGAAAAGATGGTTAATTGCTTTGCTTTTAAGGACAAAAATAAGTTCTTACCTCTAAGGGATTTTTTTTCTGATGTTAACTCTATACAGATATATCAGCTGGTCAATTATATTCACCAAGTTATACAACTGCACAGAATTTTCAATTTAGATGTGCTGTTTTATTATCCTATTTTTTTTTCCTTTCCCCAATAACAAATTGCTGTATTACAGTGTTTCTCTTTTTGCTGTACTCTTGTACAGGCTTTGATTTGCTTTGATCATAGATTGGGGAAAATGGAATGTCACGTGATGGCAGCAGAAAAAAAACATGTCAACTGGGTATGTTTTTATTCTCTTTGTGCAAGTAGGGAAAAACTCTCTTAAAGTAACATTTGCCTATGTTATTTCCATTACAATCCTTAGAGATTTTGTTTGGAATTGGTTGGATTAAGGATAAAAAGATGTTTTTGTCTGCCAAGACATGAGACTGCAGTGACCAGAAGACAGGGAAAAGAGGCAGAAGGGTGGAAAAAGAGGATGCAAATTCCATGCAAAATATGGTTGAGAGCACTTCAGATGAGCTATGGGTGAAGGTTCGTTCAGTTGAAAAATCTCTTTGTAACCTTTATATCTTTTTAAAAAATCAAGACATGCAATGATGTAAGAATGAAGAAATGTATTTGAATGTCTGATGAAAACACATTTCAGGCGTCCTATAAGCTCTGTCATCTGACTCATTTTATTCCTTATCTGACCCCTTTTGGATTATCAGTAGACTTTACAAAATTAAATTAGCTTCAGTATTCATTCCTACTTGTGGAATTTTGTAGATGCCTAGCATAGTTGAAATGGAAGTAAAGAGCTCCGAATCAGTCTCTTCAAGCACAGCCAGAAGATTATTTTGTCTTCCACAACTGTAGTTTGGGACATTCTCTTGCCCTGTAGACAGCAAGTCCATCATGGCCTCATATGTTATCCTTGCATTGAAAAAGTTCTCATAGATGCTATAGCCCAGGGTGATGTTGGGTAGCAGCTTTGGATTCTGGTTGATCTCATAAGTGGCAAAGAAGAAGGGCAGGACACGCCATAAGCTCATACTCTGTATACTGCAAGATAGGAGACTGCAGTTGGTTTTCATCTTCAGTTCATAAAAACACATCATATTTCCTGAAGCTGTTCCTTTAAGGATATTTATAACTAATCAGTTGGATTGCTGTCTTATAAGGCTAGTACACAGATTTGACAATCTAACAATCTGAAGTTAGTTATGGAATGCACCACCTTCTAATGTATCTCTAATGCTGTAGCCCAGGGTGACCTTTGGTAACAGCTTTCTATTCTGGTTGGCCCCATGAA